CTCCATCTTCTCCTGCTTCATTTTCTTCTGCTCCTTCTTGCACTTGCTTTATGGGCGAGACGCTCGATGAGCTTGAACATCATTCACCGTAGGGGTAGGACTTGACTTGTAGTAGTAAAAGGGGGATGAAGTGGGTCAAGTAAAGTGACATGACTAAGTGGCTGACAGTCCGCCGTAGGTAGGAGGGTTGCTGCTAGATATCGATGAATCTTATTAAAGTAATGGATCAGACATTGGTAGAAAGTTTCTCCCTATATTTGTTCTTCATCGTAGAAACACCTCTCATACAAAGAAGAGGTTTTCTTATCTTGGTCACATGGAAAATGGACATGGAAATGGAAGATCTCTCGTTTCTCTCACACCTCCCCCAGGCACGGATGTAACGTTAGGGGGTTTTCATGGTCTCAAAGTTCCATATATATATGCTATCTAATATGACTGTTGAAGTTTTTCAAGATTCACATTCCTTAACAGATGGATGGAAGGCAGTTTCCTCCTGTACAAGCAACCGAGTTGGCTGAGGAATATATTTGCTACGTTCTCCTGGGTGGTGGTTGGTGAAGAGGGTGTATTTGTGTCTTTCGGCTGGCCGTTCCTCGACATGCCATCTTGTACAACCCGTAGAATGCTGTGTAGCTTTCACGTTATCTCATCCCGGATATATTAGGTTTGCACTGGCCCATTGATGCCCATGCATCTCCAGTGGTTGGTGATTGATGAAGATTGTATGACTCCTTCAGACGTGCCGTAATAATCATTGTAGCCTGCTGTAATGTGCGGGACGTCTGTGCTGGTAGAAAGATTTTCCTTTCCGATCTGCATAAGGGTGCGGTGCGTCAAGAACATCGCACCTGGCTTCGAGTGCAAATTGCAGATCATTGACTGGGAAATCAGAGAGGCCGTGAAAATCATATATGCAAGCCATAAAAGCGGCTGGGCTGCTCACAACATCTTGTTCTGGCAAAATAGCTCATCTCATTTGACCTGTAGGAGAATGGTTGATGGAACCGGTCAACTCCCAACCTGTGGTGGTCCAAGGTTCAGGTAGGGTAGCTGGGGTTCGTTGCCGCTGTTCTGGACAGGACTAAAGGGGAAAAGGCGGCCATGGATCGTGGCCCGTGGACTAAGGGCTTGAATTGTTCATAAAAGCCTGGCCATTCACTGCAAGCTTTCAGGCTATGTGCCGGTCATTCCTGGCAGCATGGATTCCATATTCTACCTAAACCATTAACGACAACCGGTATCGTTGAATCCACCCTGTTTGGTCAATGGCGCCAATCAATTCAGGCGTTTTAATGCTGATCCGCGGAAAGCCACCGCCATTAGAAGACGGTGGAAGAAAAACTTACGTAGTAGAAAGCGGCTGAAGAAGGTCGCCATCGAAGTCTAGGCTCTTTCTATCACCACAGTTCCAGTCATGAGGACCTGTGTTGCAGCTAGCATCGGGTAGGAACTCGGAGCTAGGAGGGATACTTAAGATCAGTGGAGGAAACAGCAATGCTGAACGGTGGGTGGTAATGAACCTCCATAGCAATGACTTGGGCAGGACTTGCCCCATACTAGTAGAGGAATGACCAGTTTCTTGGGTCAGCAAGCGCTAAACCTGCCATAAGATACTTCGATTGACAATTCCGATTATAATCAGCTCCATCCTGCATCATGGAGCCATGTGGCTGCATCACTAAACTTAGGCGATTATTGTCGCCTGCGTTCCTAGGAGAGACGGGGAGGTTGGCCAATTGTGGATACACGATCCATGTTCAGCTTGAAGTTGTGCAGCAGAAGAGCCAAGCACGAGACCCGATGACTTGTGTTGGGTGTAGGTGGTGTGCCTTTTGGATATGGCTCCAAATACATGCATACATAGCACAGTGTGTTAGAGGATGTAGCAAATAGCGTACGGAGATACCAATTGAATTGATTGAGTTACTCCTATCAAGAGGAGCATTTGCTCACACTAATAGCTATAGAAGCGCATTACTGCAACAGCTCAGAAACAGCATTTGGCGTTCAATACGTATAGCAATGCTCACTGCCATAAATAACAGGGCGTAAAAGTTACAAGAGCGTTTCGCATGCGGGGACCCCTGTATCATCCTGCTAATACGTAACAGATACGTATCGTATGCGCAGGGATTCTGACACAGTGTACGTACTACGTAGTACGTAGTAAGGTGTGAGGTGTCTATTTGAAGATAAATACTCCGTACTAACTAGTTGGTAACGCTAAATTAGAAGCAAATGCGGCTTTGGAACTGTCGAACTGTATGAGCACTTATTGGTTGGAATTTCTACGCGAAGGCCCTGCGTTTCGCCTGCGTTTGATCAATATTTCGCCTGCACTTTCGCTTGTAATTTTGCTGTGCCGCACTCATACAGTGATTTGTACGAATATATCTACGCACGGACCCCCCCCCACCTGGCCCCCCTAGCTAAATAGAACAACTTGCTTTCTACGTATCTTATGCAGATTGTCACACAGAAACCTATGTGGTGGCCTTGATGCGCTCATCGATGGTAATCCAGAGGCAGCATGCAGAGCGATAGCATACAAGGAAAATATCCTACTGCAATGAACACCACCAGTTGGTTCTAACCGCCAGATGGTGAGTGCAATACTTGGCCATTCCTCCTCAATCAGGTAAGCCGTCTCGAGTTGTACAAGAGATGCTGATTGCAACAAGGAGTTTCAGGCTCAAGCATGTGTATTTTACCTTGCTTTAAACGTCATCGCCTCACCGAAAGGCCGACGACTGTATGACTGACTTGAAGCAAGGTACTTTTGTACATAGTAGATCTCAAGGCCGCTCTGTTGACTGGCAAGCAAGATCAGAATTCATGACCAGCTTGATACGGATTTGTATGGTACCCGCTTGAGATCGTGTGGTTGTACAGAGACAAGCCGTCTAACTATCTTCATAATCGTCGACGAGAGCTAGCAGGAATATCTCAATCTAGACCCGCATCATCAGTCAGGGCCTTGACTTGTGCTCAACCCTAGCTGCCCCAGACTTCTCGACAGACACCATAAGAACACATCACATGGGCTGTTTCTGTACTTTACTCCGGCGTCGATCAGGAGCACACGCCCATCATCGCTTCCGTAGCTTGTTTCCATCCAGATCATGAGCTGATGTCTGAGCCTACCATTTGACAAGCCAAGCGTGACCAGGCCTCGTCCTTCTTCGCCACTCGTGGCGCGCCGTCCATCATCGATGTCGCCGATGCTTTGGTTCTCGAACGCATCCATTGCTCTGCTTTCAAAGTGCTGTTGCAACAGTCATGATAAATTTTTCATTAGAGTTCGATAATCACGCAGGGGAGGTTGTTCTGGGTAAGAGCTGCTTCATTATGACAGCTCCTATCAAATACGAAGTAACAAGATGCAAGAATGGAAATCTATAGGCCCCATTACCATGTACCCCATACTGGTCGAGGCGTCAATCACGTCCCGCACATGTCAAGCAATTACAAAGAGCAACAGTCGCTGCAAGACCGAACACTTGTTCTTGAATGTTGAGGCACAGTCGGTGTGAGGGTCTTGTCCTGATGACAAGACCCTACTACTGTTGCCGGAGCAGCTACCTGAGCAAGCTACCGAGCCTGCTCGGGATACATTCATCATGAGGTCGTTAAAGGGGGCAATTCACAACGAGAGACAACCCACTTATTCTCGGTTTTTGGTGTTGGTGTTGGTGACTTTCCCACAAGGGCCATTGGCACGAGGCGTGGATGCGCAATCAAGTGGTTGCAAGGGCTGACACCAAACTATACATAGGGCTTACAGAGGCTAAGCAAGTATTATGACTATCGATGTGGATGTAACTTCTCTTCTTGCAAGGCCTTGTAGCTTTGGGCTCTCCCGGCTTCGGCGTCATGTGTGAATGAGCCGATGGTGGTTGAAATGTATAAAGTATGATAGATATCCTCTGTGCTCATGTATGTCCACCACTCTTCAAGCACTTCTGTAACTACTTCATTCAAAGTTCCCTTTCAAAGGACTCCGATTCCATACACTACAATCTCCACTCACACCCCAGGCAACTTATCAACCCAAGCTCGACATGCGCGCCTCGCTCACTTTCGCTGCCATCATCGTCGCAACCATGGCTGTCGCTTCTGCCCTTCCTCAGGTTGCTCCGCGTGACCCACCTGAACCCGTATGCGGTGACGTTGCGGCATGCTGTTATGTCCTCGACTTCGGCGTAATATCTAGTGAATGTAAACGACGTAAGTCCTTGAACAAGAACTTTGCACTACTGGAATCTTGCAATGCTAGATCATACAAACCACTTGAACGCAGGAGCCACAAACTTATGCTGGCTTGTACTTACTGGCCTCTTTGAACAGTCGAAGTCGCCCCTCGGAACGTTGATGATTTCGACGAAATCTGCGGCGAACAGGGTGATTATGTAGCGCAATGCTGCGCGAGGGTAGAGGTAAGTTCCTTTCCTTATTGAGAAAGACACCAGAATTGTGGTGGGACGAAAGAGTTGCCGACTCCGTATTTCTTCCCTTAGTTCGGACTAGGTATCCGATGCAACGATCCGGAATAGACAAGTTCCGAGACGGTCAATTCACTTGGGAGAGGTGGGTATGGAGACTATCCTATCAGATTGATGCACGTGGGGCAATAGGAGAGGTGGTTTTAATGTAATATATACGGAGTACTTAGCAGGAGAAGGCCATCTAAAAACTATGCCTAAATTACCATCAATGTGTGCTTAGTTTCAGCCTAACTGTGATATGATCTAGTTTACGGAGTACATATATTTATGCAGCTAAACATCTGGAATCTAATAAATTATATTTTCTCAGATGTCATTCTAAGAAAATGACGGCCAAATTATGGCTAGATTATGGTCATTTGCCAATACCGCGTCATTTTCAGAGCCCTTCTCCTGGTAAGTAGGGGAACATGATTTAGACAAACTTGGCGTCAGACATTAACATGAAGTATGCAACGATATCTAAGATACTTCAGATGTATCCAGTCTCTTCAAGAATTTTGTGGTGATATACATAGCTGAAAGAGCCCCTGATGTATCAACAAGCTCGATACATGGAAATGGCATGCAAAGATGGGTATTCTCAACATCATTCAATGGAAACTCCGCGCTGCTTGTATGTCTAGCCTTTGTCAAAGCGCGAAAGACGGAGCAAGGATGACTCCACAGCTTCTGAATGTGACTTGTAAGAGGCATGTCTCGAAGCACTCGTGATCGTTGCCCGTGAAGCCGAAGACATGAGTTCCATGCATGTGGCATTGAATTTTGATCCTTGGAGCAGAGCCTGGGAGGTGAATATCACATTGCGCGAATGAATGTACTAGAGTAGGTTTGTGGAAGTGGCAGATGCAAGGTTGTACGCATTGAGTTTGATAACTGCTTCGCCAAAAGTCCCGAGGTCCGCCTGCTCCCTGTATAGTTAACCCCGTGGTTTCTCCGATGCTTGGCGTTTATCAGAACGATTTTCGCCATTCTATGGTAGCACCTCAAAGTGATGATGAATGCTGTAGTCATGCAATGATACATTTCACAGACCGCGCATTACTCAGGGCCCGACATCAGTGGTGGTCATGAGGTCTCTTACAGGAGCAGAGTCACATCCTTCGCAACATGGACATCAACTCCAGCGTCGATTCAGGATTCCCCAAGACTTGCCAGCATCCATATCCCGACATGTCGTACCCGTCACCGAGCCTGACGATATCTTTAGAGACTTTCAGAGCCGTCGAGAGCGCAACTATCATCTCCTGATACGGCGCTTCGTCTACCAAATCCTACATGGATGTACTAACCCTGCCTGCAAAACCCCAACATGCCTCAGCTATCAGAAACGTACTACCAAAGTTCCCTTGCGCAAGCTTACCTCCTTAAGTGCCCGAACCCTCGCATGCTATTTGGCTTCCGAGTCAAACCCTGAAGCTGCTCTCTGTCCAAACTGCCCTCAAGTCTTTCCAGAGCACGAATCTCAGCCTGCATTGAAAAAACGGCCGAGGGGAAAGTCACATAATGTTACTTTTGAGTCTATCGAGAAAGAAGACAGCAATTGTGCCACCCAAAAAATCGCGGCGAATGGTCGTCTAGCAAATTCGGACATCAGAAGGTCCAGGCCTGGTGTTTTGATATCGTCGAGCCGAGGTGCGTCAATCTCTGGAAACGGCAGGGCATGCATTCGTGGTGAGCAGGTTGATGAGGGATGGGGAAACGTTTCAGTTGGAACCTACGCCGATGAGAGTCCGGCTCGTGACCCAAAATCGTTCACTCAAAGTCTCTTTGAGACTCTGCCATTGCGAATGCTGGAATGGTTGCCGTTTCAGCCGCGCCCAGGAAATCAGAACGACACACAGTATCACAGTGCTCCTGAACGATACGCAACAGAGAGTGAGAATTCCGCTATCAGGACGTCCAAGGATACGAGAGAAACTCCAACGCGACAAACGAGTCAAACCGATTCTATCCCAGTCAAACGAGATCTTTCAAGGCGGCTTCCGTCCGATAGCTCTCGAAAGCGTTCTGATGCTTTCCACCAGAAACGGCCGAAAGGTGATGCACGGAACGTTCAGAAAGACGACTTCGTTCTGGAAGCCGAACACGTAACCAGAAACAGCGTTTTCAACACACTAAAACCCAAGCCGACTGCTTCTGCTGAAAGTCTTCCTGTGTCTATCTCTGTGCCTGACGAGGCTAAATCTTCCCATCCAGGAGATTCATCTCCGACCCTCTCGGTTGAATTAAAACCAGTGCTTGGCATCGAGACAGTGTCGGAAAAACAAATAAAGGAGACGAGCGACTCTCTTCACGATGTGCAGTCCACTCAAAAGGATGATCATCGAATTGACACGGATGATAAATCACATCTCTCCAAAACTACTACAGTTGACAAGGATGCCTCAACGACCACATATACATTAGAAAAAGTCTCCTGGCAGACCTTCACTGACTTGCGTTCGATGCAAGCGACGCTGGAGAAGGAGTGCCTAGGATACCGGCTCACGAATCCAAGGCCCTGGCCGGATGACGCGAAGGCCCTGCCAGATCATGCTCTGCGTTTCTCTGATTGGACTGCTTTTGTGAAACAATCCTGCTTCTACCTGCTGAAGGACTCTGCCCGCCTGGCCCGAGCATTCAAATGGGATCAGAAGCCTGAAGAAAACGCTGATACTTACACATGGCCAACTTCTATTTTACCAATCAAAGGACTAGAAATCTTTGGGGCTCTTTATCATCTGCGGCCTTCAGAGGAAATACTACACTATCTGTCACATTCGTTAGACCAGGTCTTTCTTAGCACACATGAGCTTATGCGCCCACCTCGCAGCCGGACCAATCGTGGTTGGTACTCGGGAGTTACCTTATCCGCCAAGCAATCCGTCGATGGCAACGGGGCTGGACTGAGTGATAGACAAGCAGCTTTCGTTCTCGCTGTGAGTTTGTATGCCATAGGTCGTTTCTCAGCCATCTCCCACCGGTGCTCTGAGCTCTTGCATGCCGATATTTGCTGGCGTCTCTTTTGCCGAATCAGGTCGTTTGGTCGAATACTCCCGGCAGATTTCGTTGACATTCTTGAAAAGGAGAATGTTCCGGATTGCCACCTTGCCCATTTACAGTGCCTGGTTGACGTGTTTCAATGTGAAATTGCTCTAGATTTGGTGTCAAAGCTGGCCAGAGCCATCAGCAATCGCCTAACATTCTCAGAAATCTCGAACGCTCGTGCAAAGCAGGAATCGTCCATCAAACGTCAGTCTATCCTCCAATTTCTCATCGAGTACCTCAAGGACTTCAGTGTCCGCCACTTCAGCCTCACCGAATCCCAAGACCCTGCACTACTATCATCCACAACCCTTGAATGGTTGCGCACGATTTTGTTGCGTGATTGGAATGGTCATGCCGTTGTTCGTCGACAAGGGGCTATAGGTGGTGCCTTGCAGATGCTAGCAGCAATCTATGAGGATCGTGTGAGTCTACGTCTTGACGAAAAGCTTTTTCACACCCCCTTCTTCGCTGAGAGATTCGACTCGATGGAAATGCCAGTAGAGTGGCTTTCCTACCGACCTGATAACAAGACCTTCCATCTCCTCTCCTTCTCATTTCTCTTTCCACCTTCTAGTCTAGTCACATACTTTCGAGCTCTGAACTTCGCGACAATGTCCAAATCGTTCGAAACAGCCCTGATCACCTCTAAACACGTCACGCAATTCATGCGCTCTGGTTTCATCCAAGCAGCGAACACTGGGCAGCTACAGTCAACGATGAGACCAGCCGTGGCCTCCTACCTCGTTCTAAACGTGCGCCGTGACAGTGTCCTTCTGGACGCCATGAATCAACTTTGGAGACGTCAGAAACGAGAGCTGATGCGACCTCTGAAGGTGAGGATGGGTATGGATGAGGGTGAAGAAGGTGTAGATCATGGTGGTGTCCAGCAAGAATTCTTTCGCTGTCTCTTTGCAGAAGCATTGGATCCCTCATATGGAATGTTCACGATTGATGAAAGAACAAAGATGACCTGGTTTCAGCCGTGCTCGTTGGAGCCGCTGTACAAGTTCGAGATGCTTGGGATACTTTTCTCCATTGCTGTGTATAACTCGATCACTTTGCCGGTCACCTTTCCACTTGCATTCTACCGCAAGCTCTTGGATCTACACGTAAAGAAGTTGGATCACATTCAAGATGGCTGGCCTGGTCTCGCTAAAGGTCTTCAAGAGATGCTCAATTGGTCTGAAGGTGACGTTGGAGATATTTTCATGAGGACTTATCAGTTCAGCTTCGACGCTTTTGGAGAGCATGTTGACGTGGATATGCAGAAGATCTCTCGAGACCAACCGTGGCCGTCTCCCAATCAACAGAACAAATCGACTCAGAAAACCAAGTCAAGCGGCACGCCATCCGGATCCGAAGGCGAAGACCTAGACAACAAGGAGATGCTGAATAAAATACCTACCTCGTGCAAGAGTGGAGTTTGCAGTTCATCCTTATCCGAACCGAGCACCACCTGCGAAGCCGCCCTCGTCACCAACGCCAACCGCAAACAATATGTCAAAGACTACGTCTTCTGGCTGACCAGCAAATCCATCCACCCCCAATACGAAGCCTTCTCCCGCGGCTTCTACACCTGTCTCGACCGCACCGCCCTTTCCATCTTCAACCCGGCCGCCCTCAAATCCGTCGTAGAAGGCTCACAGCACATCGACATCGACGAACTACAATCCATCACCAATTACGAAGATGGCTTCACCGTCGATACACCCACTATCCTCCATTTCTGGGACGTGGTTCGCTCCTTTCCAGACGAGAAGAAGAGGGGTCTACTGGAGTTTGTTACGGCGAGTGATCGGGTGCCGGTCAATGGGTTGAGCAGTATTGTATTTGTGATTCAGAGGAACGGCTTCGATGATAGGAGATTACCGACCAGTATGACTTGTTTTGGGAGGTTGCTGTTGCCGCAGTATTCGAGCCGGGAGGTTCTGGAAGAGAAACTGGGAAAGGCGATCGAGAACGCCAAGGGGTTTGGTGTTGCTTGATGGGTGGCAGAGCATGAAGGGGGGTTCAGACTATACTTGATGAATAGACGAGAGGAGTGGGAATGATGATACACTGGTTTCATTCGGAGAAGTGACACAAACCCAACACCCCGAATCCCAATCTTCCCTGCATGAAGAGAAGACAAGAGGAGAATCCAAAATCCAGGCCTGTTCTGTATGCGAAATCAGGTGTCTGTCTCGAGAACATTGCAGTCAGCTTGCCGGTCTTGTTTGCCGACGGTAAAGGAAACAGAACCAACAAGACCCCGGTCATTCAATCAGCTACGTGAACACGCAAAGCCTCATCTCCCTTCATCAATCGCCACCACACAGCACAACACATATAATGATACCACCGGGGATACCGTACATGTGCTGAAACACTGAGCCTTCTAAGAGGTTGGAGTCTGTGGGGATACATCAATTAAGTTTGGTTCGAAATCCCACAAGGCTGTCCTTTTGGTGGAGTGGTTGATGTGTCCCTCTTCTTTTTCCCTCCTCCCTGGGTGTCACGTGCCGGTTCCGTTAGCTCTACCTTGGCGCCGCTGCTTCTTAGATTAGCTCTTGCTGCTTATCAGCTTCCTCTTCTCCATGCACGTACGATTCAATCAAGTAACTTGATCCATTGCACTGGGGGTTCTCTGGATTGATATTTCTCTAGCGCTTTACCCCCAGAGCAGAGCTTAGTTAATGTAAGCTAAGCGCAGCTAAGCGACTCAGTAGTTAACTAGATGAGATGAGATGTTGCTGTTTGCTGCTTGCTTTTTCTCTAACGAAGCGGGAAGAATGAATGAGGAAAGGAAGCAAGGAAAGGAAACCGATCGATCTAGAGATTGGGATCTGCAATCTGGATCTGCAATCTGGATCTGAATCTGAATCTGAATCTGAATCTGAATCGGATTGCTCGAGAAAAGCGATTGGGCTACCACACGGGAAGCAGCTGGGGTATTAACTTACTACGTAATAGGTAATAGGTACTGTGTGACACGGGGGGGAAATTGAATTTGGGGGGGACTATGAATCAGACACGTGCGTCTAGGCTCTTGTGTTCTTTCATGATTCGGTATTTTTTACCCAAGAACTTTGTCTATCTGGTCTATGGAAAGCTGTGCGATTGGTGAGTCTTCAGATGAGGTGGTGAGAGTGTTAGTCTTTGACGCGTCAACAGCCTGATGATACCCTCCAGTTTTTAAGCCAGACCTGGGGTTGCCGTTGCCGTTCCCGTGCCGTTAGGGGTTCGATGCTTCAGCCGGATGAAGGGGGAAAAGACACAACGCCCAACCATGCAATCTAGGAAGCTGTAGGCCCGGACAAGCTTGCGCCGGGACAACTTCCACCTACATCCATGCAAGACATGTCCTATGCCGCCACCCTTACGCTCAAACTCCTGCTTCTCTCCCTCTCCTTAGCAACAGCATCGGCAGTCGATTCGCCCCTCCTGTCCGTCGCTGGGGCCTCTCCACCTTTCTTATCCACATTTTCACTACCCTTCGTTAGCACTCTAAGCAGCGCCTCTTCTTCATCTCCCTCCTCCTCAACTTCCCCAATCTTGTCGGGATTCTGCGTGCCTTGGTCTTTCCATCCCCACATTGCTGCATTGAAAAGCTCGGCTTGTTTGTCTCGTCCATGTTGAGGCTCTTCTTTGCCCCGACGAGCACGGGATTCGTTGGTTTCGCGGAGAGTGGCGTTTTCGTAGTCATCGAGATGTTCGTTGCTTTGCGTGCCCTTGATGGATTCGGAGGTGCTGGAGGGGTTGAGGTCGGCGAAGTTGAAGGATCTGTATTCTGTATTGCGCCAACCCGTGCCTGGAATGTCCCAACGCAATTCGTTAATTCTGTCGTTCTTGTACGCTAGAATACAGAAGAGATAGATGAAATTAGGACCGAGATGGAAAGGTTATGCGAGCTGCACCTCGAAGAAATGAAACCGGAACTGGGTTCTGAGAACTCACCATTGTACGCACCACTATCTTCCCAATCCTCTGTGAAATAGTGCAAAAATCCTCCATGAGTAACGACAACGACCTCTGGACTCTTTTCACCTCCCTTCTGTAAGTCGAGGATTCGATCGCGAATGTAGATCCTCGCTTCCCTGGCTCTCTTACTCAATGCTTCAGAAGTAGGTGCCCACTTGCTGTCCAACTTTTTAACGTTCCAGCCTTCTTTCACCAAACTCAAGTCAACAGGTACATGGTTTTCTGCCATTTCCTCAGCGAGCTGGTGCGGATCGCTCCCCGTATCACAGGGAAAATCGGATGATTCCTGCATTTCAGGCAGAGCGACAATGTTCTGTTGGCAACGGCCGTTGTTGAGGGCAGGAGTAAAGCTGAGAAGAGTCGTGTAGATGGTACGACGGAGAGGTGAAGAGACGAGGAGACAGAGCTTGTCGTGGTAGGGAAATGTTTCGCGGAGAGCAGCGCATTGTTGTTCACCAAAAGGGGTCAACGAAGGGTCGTGCATAGTGTGGTTGGCCTCGCTTAGGTTGTGAAAGCCCTAGGCAATGGATAATTAGCTTCTACAGCTCTAAACTGGGTAAATGGTATCACAGTTGAGAGAACCGGTTGGATTGCTCTCTGCTCTCTGCTTGTAACACACTCTTGAACTTTATTCGTACTGAAATTCAAAGCCTGGGGAGCATGTCACTTCCTTACCTGTGCATGCCGCACACAGTGAACGGTATGTGGCATCTTTGAGAGATTAAGAGCTGGGTCTGCACGGTCTTGAGGAGCCTGCTGCCGCAAGATGGAAACAGGTTATCAGGTATTTGTCGTGGAGGGTATGAAGCTCAAGGTAGACCGAAGAAAAATACCACGATACTAATAATAAGAGCAGGATAGATAGTAGCGGAGTGAACGTTCAGTCCTATATACATATAGAAATGAACGAGTCACCGAGAGGGGTCGTCATATTGCGTAGGCACCAAGATTCATTCTTTGTTTCCAAGCAACGGACCATGTCATCACATGCACACAGCGATAATGATATGTCACTTGAGGCAGGTCAAGCGAGGTCACGGCCCGCCTTCCCGAAGTATTACTCACATTGGCTTGGCTTTGCAGGCCAAAGTTCAATTTTTTCCTGATTGATTGATGCAGCTTTGTCTCTTACGGCGGACTGTTACAGGCTTAAGGCCAATTCAAAAATTTAGATTTTCAGAATCCATTTTAGATTCCCTGCAGCCCTCACTAATCATTCTATCCTGAATTCACACTACAGGAGTATGTACGAAGATTCAATTGATTGACCGTAGGGTACTCGTACTTTTAAGAGAATTCTCCTAGAGAGAATTCCCCTAGAGACAGTGCCCCTAGAGACGGTGTCTCTAAAGAGGGTTCTTCTAAACAGGGTTCTTCTGGAGAGGATATCGTCAAAGAGGATGTCCCTAGGAGGGTGTCTCTAGAGTGCTCCTAAAAGAATCTCCCCTGAGAGGGTTCTTCTAGAGAGGGTGCCCTAAGAGGGTGCCCCTAAGAGAGTATCTTTAAGAGGGTGTCCCTAAGAGAGTTTTACTGTATGAAGTGATCTTAAATTTTCAAATGAATTTTGAAAATCCAAAATTTTGAATTAGCCTTAATCCTGTAACAGTCCGCCGTAGTCTCTGAGGCCTTGACAATATCAAATCTACTCAGTCTTGGTATGTGTATCAAGGAACAGCGCACACAGATGATTACTAGATGATGCATCACATGTAGATTGCCAGGATTGTGAAGGCTGTTGAGTCTGATTCCTCAGAGACAAGCCATGATTAAGGCGTATCTCACTGAGCTGAGGCAGATTCTCAATCCTGGTCTCATTATATGATTGGCCTTCTACATGTTCTTTAAAGTACTAGCACTACCTACACAGACTCGTTGCCCCGCTGAATCACTGCAACGTTTGCTTCCTCAGGTTACAGATGTCACTATTCAAACACTCTGACATAAGTGCGTGAAGACTCATGTCTATGATTGGGTGACCTCCTTACCTAGCCATTGTAGAATATGCTGGCAGGAAGTCTATCCAAATAGGAGAATGGAAGCAAATGAATCGCCTGTGCTTCGTGAGACTGGACCTAAAAATAACATTCTGACATCTAGACGATCCAGAAAACGCCCCAATGGTAGATTGTCTTGTGGCTCAGAGAAAAGGGAAGCATGGCTCAGCCAGCCGTGTGGGCTTCGTCCAGCTCCTCTCCAAGCACGCCGACTTGGCTGAGCCAGGTGCCTTCCAATCAAGTCACTTACCGTAAGTGGCCTGAGACGCTGAACTCAAGGTTCCGAACAAGAAAACCCTACCACCGGGGATACCGTACATGTGCTGAAACACTGAGCCTTCTAAGAGGTTGGAGTCTGTGGGGATACATCAATTAAGTTTGGTTCGAAATCCCACAAGGCTGTCCTTTTGGTGGAGTGGTTGATGTGTCCCTCTTCTGTTGGCACCGACTTGCGACATCTAGACCCCGTTAGAAAAGGGGCAACTTCCTGATTACTAAGTAGTGGACCATTCGCCGCAAAGCTTGGCTTTGATGGTCCTACTTTCAGCCCCGAGGCAGCGGTCAATGGTAAAAGCCAAATCTTCCATTCGGAATCGCTCTGAATGTAGATGTTTGGTGGCGCTGGGATGCGTGGAGACCATTCGTTCGACCGTAGAGACAGGAACCTAATTTGCAAGAAAAACCTTGTAACGAGAATAATGGCAAGAGCGGCTGGATTGGGGGTGGCATTCTTCTAGGAGTATATAAACCCTCTTCTTGCCGGCTTCTCTGTCAATGTCTTCATACTACTTAACTGGTAGAGAAACCACATTAGTTCTTTTCTTCATATCACATTCTATCAACCTCGTTCGTTTGTAACTTATACCATCACCCAATACAAGGACAGAACAGAGGATGGAAGAGCAACGCGTTTTCTATGGCATTGGCGGAGCAGGAAACTTCCGTAAGCAGCCGTCATATCATACCTGGCCGAGTTCATGGTTGCTGACTTCGGCCGCTCAGGTCGACCCTCGGAGATGTTATACCTCAGCAGCCGAGGCTCTAGCTTGTCATCACGAAACAGCAGCAAAGTGGAGGGACAACGAGGAAGCTTGGCCAAGGTTCTCAACAGCCTTTTCGGAAGGAATGTCGAGGCGACAAATCAAACAAGATGAACGCGATGGAAGCAGGGAGCCAAAGAAACTTTTTGAATCATCCGGGAGTAGATGGACATGACAGGAAGTTCTTATGGTGATCTTAGGTTCAAATGGAGTGCGGTTATAAGCGTGGTGTTATGCCTTATATCAGTTCTGAAATAGAAAAGCCTCGAAACAGCAATTGGACAGCTCTGACTGTGCAAACCTAGAGAACACTAGCTTGTTTCCTCAAGGATCGCACAGACCTATTAGCAGACATCTCCTGCCATCAGGACACCCTCGTATTACGACTTGTAACAAGGGCCACATCGGAATGGTTCTTGATTTCCTACCCAATCCACACCTGCACATGTCAGCGCTCTGACGTTTGCGTGGACGGCGCTGTAGATATTGGCTTCAACCATTGGTAGTAATGAGCTGAGGACCAGGTGGGATCTGAATCGGTTTGTGTTAGTGGACAATATATTTTGCCGGTAGCTCTCAGGCTGGAATGGGTAATAAGTGGCAAGCATACGAATCCTAGACAGCAATTCGAGGGTTTCAAGCATGTGAACTCTGCCGTTGTTGTAATCAAAACAGGACAGTCTTGGGATTTGGGTTGCACCTCTCGCACGAAAGAATTAACTAATTCTGCCAGTAGCGACAAGTGATTGAATTTCGCTGCCTGATTTTGAAATCTGCTCTTGCCTTCTTATTCAAGAGCAACGAGCTACCTTTGAGTAGCATGGATTTCTGCAGGGACACTCACCGTCTTCAACTGCCTTAACACGTTTCGCACCAATCGTGCGACTGAATGCTGCGTTGTTCCCTGACGCGTTCGCCAGCTCTGCCGAGATGATGGTGCCATGGCCATATCAAGGTTCATAACAACAGCTCTGGGAAAGTAGGCCAACTGCCACGTTGAGACTCCGAGTATCATTGCGAATAGAAATTCCACCCGTAACACAGGTGTCATTGCTTGGAAGTCTTCTCCGTTCCTAAGAAGGATGGCGAGAGGTATACACCTTCTGAGGTCTGCATGGGGCGTCTTGAATTGCTCCTAAGGCACTTGTTGTCTTTCCGCAGAGGCAAAAGGCCGCTGTAAGAGCTTAAGAACACCTCATCGGAGGTTGAGGATATTTCGTCATAGAGGCAGCAAGCTTCAGTATCAAGGATGAGTCATGGGTTGGAAGGCCAGGCATTATTAGACTTGGTGTGGTTGGTACTCGTTCCTTGATCCCGTCCTGCTTGTGGTCTAGTTTTCGTGTCAGGAGAGCCTGTTTCTGGGCTGACAACAACGATCTGCAATACGCTTGACTTCAGTAGGAGGTTAAGAGGAAAGAATATGCATTGGTGAACAGGTCATAATGCAACGTAGAACCTATATCTTCAGTCCATGGAGCAGTATTTGAAACTCCTCTATTCTCTACCTTGAAAAGGTTTTCTACCTACAGCAATGGCATCCTGTCGAACCTCCACAACGAGTCTTCTTTCTTTAAAACAAAAGATCAAGCGGAACTAAAGCAGATATTTGTTTAGCAAGACCTAAATCTGACATGCTTACTCACCTATCGACCCAAGAGCAAAACCTGGTTCGAGTGCATGCTGGTCCGGAATAACGGCAACTTACTGTCAAAAATTTCCAAAGCGTAAAAGTCGGTCCCAAGAACCCTCTAAGCCCACCAAGCGCCAAGCGCACGAGAAAGAAGGCCACCGGACGTTGCAATTGAGCTCTTGGTAGAGCTCGATTCCCTGGCCTTCCTGCTGGACAGTAGTTATTAAGGAACGGTGCTATCGTGCGCTGGTTGAGCAGGCTGAGGTCATTGTACACTCCCATCAATCAAGCCGCGGATCAGCCCTCGAGGTGACCAATGAGTGAGACATGGGGGGTAACATAGATGAGGGATTAGAGTCGTGTTAATTACCCCGTACGAGGCCCTCTGGCAATAGTATACATTCGCAATGCATCTCTTCAGCAACCAGCTTGTGGAATTCAGGCTTGGGTTCTTGCAATGTTGCTGGCGGCGATGGTCTCTAGTCCCAATGAATTCCTCTTCAAAAATCTTAAATGCTTGTTATTTGACCTGGACGTCTAGTTAGCTTGACTATGATGAAGAAGAAAAAGTGCTATAAAGGTAATGGAAGGGTGTCATTGGAGCTTGAAACTTGTGCTTTTCCGATGTCTTAGTTTGGCGCCTGTGTATCTCGCATACGAAGTTGCGGATGGCTGGTTCAGGAAAGAAATAAGATGTGGGCTACGGAGTAGTGGCTAGGTATCTCATTTTGAAGGGATTTGGCTGGTCCAAAAGAGTCTCGGGGTTTTGAGGAAGTTGTGGTGTCTGATTTGTCTTCGTGCCTGATCCCTAAAACGAAGCTATTTATGCCGCTGCGCTAGATCGGTCGTCACAAATCAGCTCCAGTAAATAAGGACCAGAAACCTGGGCGGTTGTCGTTGATCCTTAGCTTGAAGGCCCAAAGGCTCCTGTCGGTTCGCCAAATACTCAACTCCTACTTGGAGCTGAGGATATCGTCAATTAACGATTTCGTGGAGACTTTACTACAGATTTCCAATCTGAGGTCAAACTGGGAGAAAGGGCAACTTTGCGACTCAAACAAATCAGCCATCAAAAGGGAGCGAATACAGTTGGACCTTCAGTTGCCGAAGCGCAGAGAATCTTGAATCCCTCGAGCCAGGACAGGAGAGATAAACAAGTTGTTCGTTGGTGTTTGATTTTTTGACCTGTCAACTCAGCCGGAGGAAACACTCAATAGCGTCCTCGCCAAAGAGGCTTGGGATATGTGACCAACACTGAAGATGACTCCTCGTGTTGTTATGGCTCATGGTGATCTCAGAGAGCAGGTAGAGCTATAAATGAAGTCTTCTATGGCTATAGAAGGAGTGACTCTAAGTGAGATTATCTACTAATCACTACAAACAGGTTTTGGATGCCATGAAACAAAAGGTCACTTATTATTGTTACGTGGAAGTTTGCATTGAGAAATTGCTGATGTTGAGGAGCATGCAGATGACGAGGTCCGAAGCAGTTTTGAATGATCATAACGCCACGCTGCTATCCCATAATCCGCTATCAGCGGCATCGGCAGAATAGTCCTGAAGAGTATATTTCATCATTTCTTCGTCTTGTCCTTCCCGCCTCCACCTACAGTCCCTCCTGGTCGCCTTTTGTACTTCCTGGGATCCTTCCTATTCATCCTAACTTTGTCCCGTGTCCCTTTCCCGCCTTCCCAAAATCCACCTCCATGTTTCCGGATGACGGAGCTATGACAATGAATGCAATCCTCTGGCCGATAGATCTGCTCTCTCGAGCAAAACCCACATATCATCCTGTTGGCATGTTCATTGGGATGCTCCTCGGTGGCATCGTGACACCGGTCGCAAGGGTAAACTTTGGAACAGCATGAAAATCGGAACCAGCGGTAACTCTTCGCGTAGTGCTGGCAACGTCCACGCCGGGGTAGCTCCTGGCCAGAGACAATGCCTAAGTTCTCCTTGGGCCGTTTCCTGGGGAGAGGCCGGTTCTTGCCAACGCCGGCAGCTGACACACGTAGAAATTTGACATCAGGAATCTTGAAGCTCATTTTTTGGTGACATTCTCGACACATGACCATAGTGGACTCGCCTCTGAAAGACACTACACCAGGCGCAGGGTAGGGTGTGGAACATTGAGAACACGTCGGAATGAAGTTGCTGGAATAATTAGGTTATCTGAGAGCTATAACGATACCAAGTCGTACCTAGGGAGAAGGTCAACAATGCTGCAGCCATCAAGGTCCAGATGACCGGCTCGGACACTAGTAGGGTGCATGAGCTCTGACCGATAGCCTGCAAACCATCAATCAATGCTGGGTCATGATGTGTCAAGACCACCTACCTATGCTAAGTTGAGCCGCACACTTGTTACAACTTTCATGCTTGATCAGTGACGTATCGGCTGGGGTGTATGACTTGACACTCTTCACATCCTTCATTTCCTTGCATCGATCACATTTAAGGGTTAGGGAAATCGAAAATAGTTGAAGCAACTCTGCACCATAAAGCGCAAGGGATGGGAACGACAGGAGAATTCCAAGATCCGGGCCAATATCGGTACCTACTCGTGCTTCTGCGGGAACAGCGGCGCCACCGTCGTCATCAGTTCCATACTCAGAAGATTCAAATTCGGACCCATCTGTACCAGATGAGTTTTGGTCAATGTCATCTCGAGGCCTGTCCCATTCTGGTGGACGGGGTATGATGTGAATATGCGGTCGATCTTCCTCTTGATCTATGCCGACATCTTTGGACGTTCGCACCGGCGGCTCAGTACTTGGCGATGGCGCCAGGGGCGGCGAACGTGGAGTGGTGGCTGCTGCTGGCGCCTCTATTGCCATCGTGTGTAGATTTTGAGCTAAGTGATTGACATGAGCCATTAGGGTCATCTCGGGATGGGCTGTGGCATGACTTCGGAATGCTGCTTGAACAGTATCCGCCTCTTTTGACGAAACATCCACCAGTGATATCGAACAGGGTTCTAAATTGTATAAGAGAGGAACGAAAAGTCTCACGCTTTTGAGAGGTTGAAGGGAAACTGGTAGCTTGCTTAACTGGGAGATCTGGAGAGGCACAAAGAAAGAAAGACCGCCTGGAGACTTGGAGAAGTGAGGTTGCCTTCCCATTCTGGCTTCGAGCTGTCGGATATCGGATTCCCGCTTCACTGCCGCTTCGGATATCTTCTGCGAGGAATGCTGAGGGGGTGATGATATTGACGAAGGTTCTTTCTCGGAAGAGATCGCCGCAGGTTGTGCCGGGGGGGCTGTTGACCTTAATGCTATGTTGGAGGGTCCCTTACCTGTATTGGTCACAAGTTTGATGGTCTGAGCCTTTTCAGACACAAGAAAGCCTTCAAGACGTTTGTCAAGTTCATTCATCAAGGCGAGTAACGTACTCTTAGACATTGTCGTCACAAGAGAGTCAAAGCCACGCTCTACGTTGATCTGGTAGCCCCTGTCCATCTCAGGATTGGTAACGCGTAATGACGGCCGTCCTCTTGTAGGATAAGAATGAGGAACAAGCAGTGTACATTGCAAAGCCATCATTTCGAATGGAAAGTCAGGATCTGTAGGCACCAGCCTGAATGTCAAGGCCGTTGCCTCATGGACCTCTTTCTCCTCTGGAGAGAACCTCCGTCGCAGCTGGTTGAGCTGAAATTGCCGTGGATCAGCCCTCTGGGTCTCTGGGATAGGCTGGAAGACTCTCTTCTCTGTTGGTGGTGCAACTCGACTATCACTCGAATTAGGTTGTTCATCTGACCTTCCGGTCCCGATAACTTGACTCGTCTCGCGAGACCCGTTTGATCTGTGATGGATCGGAACCGGCGTCAGGCTGGACGGAGAGCCTTGCTTGTGAGGCCGAATTGGTTCATTTCCGCTTTTGGGTGCATTGGCCGCAGCTTCATGGCTAAAAGAGCAAGCGGCGCCAGCCTTGCAGCCTACACGTGATAAGAGGCTTGGTCAGCTATTGCGGTACGTCGAAGACCAAAGCTTCAGGTCAGGCGACTTGTAGTCACTCCGTCAACAATGCATATCGCATTGTTCGGATATGACCAGAACACAAGCAGATGGAATCACACGTAGTGTGATACAGGCTAAGACACAGTAACTTACCACTGCTGAAGAAGTATCGACATTTCCTCCTCCTTGTTTCGGGGTGTGATTGGAATGGGGGCGAAAGGCTGGGTAGTGCCTGAGAGACGCCTAGTCCAACAACTCAATAAGCGCTTACTAGGGGAAGTGATGCTAACAAAAGAAACGCCGCCGTCCCTGGGGGTAAGGGTGTGTAAGAGGTTCCGACAATTGGCCATTTATTGGGTAGCGTTGCACGTGGGCTAGTCTCCCCCCAAAAGAGGAATGCACCGGTTTTGGACTCACCATGAATCTCAGCCAGATCACTATCCCGGTCGTGTGATGGGTGTTGGCTTCCTGCTATAGCTTCAGTCGGGTCCATCGATTCTTGCATGCTTGATGATGCAGCGGAAGTGTCGATAGCGGGCAAGCTTGCGAGCTCGGCTTAGTTAGGAGATAGGAGATTGTCAAGTGCCGAATGTGGGGGCCGGGGGTTGAGCGACGATTCGTCAGAGGCTTGAGATCTTCTAGACGGATCTAATCAGTTCGTCGCGGGTTCACTGTTCAGCCTTGCGCAGTCGTTTCCTGCAGGAAGACGATTTAGCGACCCGAGACACTGGTGCATTTAGAACTGCGTTGGTGTCACACAACGGCTGAATAGTTAGGCGTAGGAAATACCGAATAGTTCACCGAAAAGTCGGTCACAAGGGCACACACCAGCCAGGGTCCAGGGGCAGTTTCTCTCTGTGCTGAAAGTCAGATGCCACCAGAGCGGGAAGGGAATGGAATGGAATGGAGGAAAGGCGGAGATTCCAGGCGTATCACTTGACGTGATTTAGTCTTTTGGATATTGCACAATCAAGACGGACAACGAGTGGCCTTAAGAAGATCCTCTCGTATATGTCGGAATCATTTCCAAGAGTTGGGATTGGTGGTGGTGATTCTGGTGACTGGTAGCTGGCGAACATAGGGACGCCTGAGTCATAAGGCCCAACGGGGGGTCGCACTGGTGATGCAGCAGAGTTTTACAGTAGCCTCGTGCGCGGGCTTTCATTGGCAGGTTGTGGATGAGCTGTTCATTTACGAGTAGCAGAGGCGAATGAATTTTGACCAACCTACCAGCGTGGTTCAACCGCTGTCAGATTGCGACACGATGTCACCAAGAGGACCACCATCCCGGAAATACTAACTAGCAAGCACCAGACCTCGACCGACCGAGGAAAAGCAAAGGTCTGGAAGAGTCACTGCTGTTATCATGAGTGAACCAGAATGCGGTACCGTGCAATGGGCAACATCCGGCTTCTGAACAGACGATCCAGTTTGATCTGCCATGATCTACATGCCAAATACTGCCGAGTTCTAATTTCCCAAGTACCTCGCACTGAAGAATCATTACGGATGGGGGGACCTTACCACGTAGATCCCGTATCCACTTCCGATCCATATTGCAACAGCACTTCTGCAGATTCACGACAGCGTCATCATGAGCACACTATCGCTTCTTTTTTCGTCATGTCCAAAACTTTTTCTCCCTCTCTGAACTCGGTGAATTGGAAGGTGGTAAATTGTGTTACGGGTATTATATTGATCTTCTGTCATTTGTTCACCGCGTCCGTATTCGCCCTTGTTGTGGTCAGAATCCTTTGGAGGACAGTGCCCGTGTCACCAACACCAAAGGGAAGAAGCTGATCAAGTACAGGGATTGTTCACTGATTGCACGTTGTGGTTCATGTGTGCCAGCCAGTTGTATCTAGTAGCATGCAAGTAACAGTAACTTGGTGGTCTTCCTCCACAGAGATTGACAAGAGCCAGAGTCAACGTCAGCTGAGTGACTAAGAGATGCGTCCTGCAGCTCGACATTCAGCACTGTGGTGGTAATTCCGCATATCGCCTAGACTATTGGCCGTGTGTCATCTTCGTGGCGGCATATGCAAGAAATATTGGGATGGCCTGATTGGGAAATGTGCTCTAGAACAATGCCGCCCGTAGACCTCAATTCGGACACTGTATTATTGAGACTGTTTCACATGATCCAAGTTGGACTTGACTTTACTGGTGTTATGTGTGCAGGCCATGGAATAATGAACAGTCTTGGTGTCTCTCGCCACTCCGCTGACATTGCTCCGGATGGCGTAGCTAGTAGTAGCAAGTCCAGAGCTCATTGCCACCGAATATTAATTAAATAGTACTATAGAGACGATGGAGACGATGGAGACTAGCTCCTCAAGAAATGGGACTACGTGACAGCTCAATGGTACCGGTAATATTTGGGGATCTAACATCATTATTGTATTGTGTCGTTTCCTAGCGGTCGCGAGACCACAGAATTACCAATAAGAGGTGCAAACAGTATTGAACTTGGAAGAAAGTGTTCAATCCATCCGCTCATCTATAAAGCTCCTTTGGCCTGGTGCCATGCTGACCAGCTGAGCAGACCATTCTGCCTTGCATGGTCGCCGCAGCCGCACTAGAAGACCAAAGGCCATCCTTGGGTATCATCGCTAAACAATGAGACGCGAAAAATCAAAGAAACAAAATAAGTAGTACATGTCATAAGGGCTTGTCTCCTGATATTCGTACATTGAACATGTGAGTGACATGTGAGTGACTCTTCGCTATTAATGCCGAGGTCACACAGATGATTCTTGACTCCTAAGAGGGAAAAAAAACCAAAGAAAAAAGCGTCGCTAAAGTATCCACTTTTGCCTTTCGATTGATAGAGGTAAGTCATTGCTATTAGGGGGCCGGCAGAGCTCGCGCTCTTGTAATGATCCGGACGAATTGCCAGGAAAAATGGTCTTGCCAAGCAAATATGTTGCTGGCGGTTCACCATCCCTTGGTATGGTATTCCCAGGGGCCGTAGTCGAAGTAATGATTCCAGGAATTGTTCTTTGAAACTTCTTTGAGCGGTTGCACAACCTTCGGCCCAGGAAAGTCTTGTAGGTTGGCCATTTCATTGTGAGCAGTATGACGGCGCTTGTAGACGGCATTGGCCGTTGTACTCTTCTGCTGACGCTCCCACAGCAGGTGCCTTCTTAGGGACTCGGTAAGCTCCGTAGCTAGCATATTTCTGCGCGTTGTACGGGGGGAATGCGCTGGGAGGTGAGTGTTGGAAGTGGTGCATATGATAGGCTTAGACCGTATGACGTCCACGCCAAGTCCGGCGTTACCGCTTTCAGCTGTAGTGGTTGGTGAGGCAAGCACGGATGGGCCATGGGGTGACGAAGTTCGAGATCGACGAAGTGCAGCAGAGGACTTCATTGCTGCCTCAGCCATAGCTGCTGCGCGCTGTGGCTCATGCAGACCTCGAGTCAACAGAGACTTTCGTGAGACAAGATTAGCACGAGAATCAACCCGTTTGAACACGGGCTTTTCCTCAGGCACGCTCGATAGACCGCTTTCTGTGACAGAGTCCTCCCAGTCAGAGTCTTCCTCTTCCTCTATGGCACTTTCGTCCATCTCCTCATCGTCACTTTCGATTGCACCTTCATCTTCATCTTGGCCCTCTTTGATAGTCCGTATTTGTCCGGATTGCAGAGCAGCTCTGAACGAGCTCGGTCTCGAAACAGCCTCTGGGTACTTTAATCGATCGGATAACGAGCTGAGTTGCGGCTGTTTGCACATTCTGTCTTCAAATGAGCTCTCATCATCACCAGAAGAGCCGCCAAGCGTGAACATGCCACCCGCCTTCTTCTTGCACACCTCTGGCTTTGACGACGAGTCATTCGGTATTAGGGTGGTGGAGTCTGGGCTCATTCGTGCTCGGTAGGAACTTGAAAAGAGCGATGGGGCAAAGCCATGAACAATACTGCCGGATTTGATGATGCTGCCAGAGGATACGCTGGTGTCAGAATCGCGATGATCACCGTGGCGTGAGCTCTGGCCGATGGCAGCGGAGTAACAGGAATCAGAGGAGTTGTGCAGAGAAGCGGAGGGCTCGGGGTGCATCGGTTCGACCTGAGGTGATGGTGAGGAGGGTTTATGCGTCTCGCTTGCCGTTACAGGACAATTTGCCGCCACTGAAGGCGAAAGAGGTTCGAGTTCGGTCTGTTCTTTAATGTTGAAGACCATTTTCTCCAATTCAAGCGACGTAAGGTGCTTTTCTTTGCCTCTACTTCGGCTCAATGCAGAGTCGTCGCTCAGTGGCGACTGGCCCGAGCAAGTTTCTTGCTCGGATGGCTCATCAGAATCGGCAGAGTCGACACTAGATGACAGGGCAGGGACTTCTTTCTGGCTTGGGCGTTGACGAGATACATCAATGGCGGGTGTGATAGAATATTGCGGTTGAGCTTCGCAACAAAGGGTTTCTCGGTTCCATAAACGCCAACTAAGATTTTCTAGTCGCTTCCCTCCTTCAATTGATTCTGCGCATTTGGAGAAGACTAATTACCAAGTCAGATCACGCGCACCAACTCAGTACGCAAGCGAATGCCACTTACCAGTCCACATTCCAAACAGGCTCTCCACATTCCGGGGGTCCACCTTGTGCATTTTGCCGGCATCCACTGTGAGGACAGGCGCGGCCAGACGCGAAGGCATCGTGTCGAGCAGCCGCACGCGGTAAATGTCAAAGATCTGAGGCTTCTGATTGACAAAAAGGTGAGAGCAGCTGGAGCAGGTGCAGCATCTATTTGTTTGAGATGCGGAACAAACACAAATGCGTCTGTGTCTTTGTAGAGCAAACACAAGACTTGTTTTCCTGGTTCTAGTTCTCGTCGGTGCCACGTACGAATGTCTCAACAACTCGCTGAATCGTTCCGGTAGTAGCGCGAGTCAGGGAGTCCGAAAGCGGGTGGACCGAGGGCCTGGGGGTTAGAGGCGATTATTCGTAGATGTGAAATGTAATGTGTGATGTGGAGGGTTTCATGCACGGTGCTCTTGAGAATCAGGTGGAAAATCGTGCGACAGGGACGAGAATATGAGGGATGTTGGAAGGGGAGGCGCGGAGAGAGGGCTGTATACATATGAGACGGCGGTGGGACAGAGTCAGCAATGGGAACGGAACCGAATGCGATCGATTATAGTAAATACACTAATACCATACCGTCATTACAAATGTATTTTTGCTCTGGGGCTATGTCGTCGACAAGCTGAGACTGGCTAAGGCCACACCGATCAAACACATCCCTTTGTTCAACTAGGTTAGTACCCATCTCCGGTGCCACAGCCTTTGCATCTGGATCCATCAATGGAGATAGATTGCGTTTCCATCACCTGCCTAAACTCCCATTCTCGCTAACTGCTATCTTTTGCTTGACCTGCCTCTGCTGTCCTACCTCTCTTGTCACTCTGTCCAATGTCAGTGACCTGACAGTTTCCTTCAGGTACCCACATGGCCGAGCAGTACACACCTGTAGTCACGATGGATCCCAAAGCATGAGATTGCCCCAGATCGAACCGCATCACATGGCAAGACATGTCCTGCCAGTTAGTTACTGCTACCTCTTCCTTGGACGTGTACTATTATGTACTACTTTATGGGCCTCCCTCGGCCAAATAGGATCTACGCTAATACCGGGGAGCTGGAAGATGGATTTTGCTTTACGGCATCCCGTTCTTCAGGACTTTAACCGGAAAGAACCAAGGGTGATTGCATCTGATTCTGCCCTTACCACGAATTTGATAGCGGCGGCGTACTGTACAATCATGGGCTTCTAGGGGACCAAGATCCGGTAATTTGGACATGGAGGCAGTTTAGGCATTCGACAATTATGCTGGTATTTCTACTTGGCACGCCATCTCAGCTAAAAGTCATGTACCCCATCATGCCATGCCATGCCCATGCTCCGGGCACGCTGCCTAGTACTGCGCATTTGGTTTTGCCGCCGCCTCGGTCTGACTCCCCCCTGATCCTGGTAAAGCAGAAGTGGGGAATCATCTTCAAAGTCTCACAAGACTTTCCCTTATCCTCGTAAAGTCCGTGTCATCAGCACCAAGCATGTCGGACCATTTGGAATCCGGCAAAATCACAATAACAATAGGGTCCGTCATGACGAGCGACCTCAGTACAACTGTCCTTTTTGGCATTTGTTGATTCTCAAAAGAGCTTGACCGATCGCTGCCCAACGACAGTCACGTGTGTGACGAACAGACCCAGGTCTGTCCTCGATTGATTGTTTCCACGGTTACTCAATCTTCTCGTTTGTATTTTTGGCACAATTCTCTTACCCAGACCTCTGATTCCGAGTCACAGAGGTACCATAATACGTAGTAGTTGAATCTAGAAGCTACCATTCGATTCTGAGACCAGGGGAACCCCACTACTAGTATTGGGCGCTGAAATGAACCCTGGTCTGCAGTGATCTGCTCTGGGCGCTCCCTGTTTGCAAGTCACACTGCCCAAACTACCCCTAATAAATCATAGGTCTTAGTTTGCTTAGCCGAAAGAGGCTTCACGCTACTACGCGGAAAGCGCACTTTATGTTCCGAAAGAAGCCCCAATCCAACGCTTTCAGCCATTCCATGGGTGAGGCGTTCACCCGCGAGGCAGCCACTGGCATTTTGATTCTCCCAATCGTGCATCATAATGGAATTCTTGAGCGAGCCATACAGCCCTTCCCAACAGGAAACAATTTCGATCCGAATGGGTTCAATGTCCACAATTTCCGAGGTAATACGGAGTAGTTACGATGAAAATCAACTCGTTCTGTACCAATCCTCTGAGTACAGAGTGAACATCCACGTCTCACCCACGTTGCATGGATGATGTTATGAATGGATTCAATCGACAAGCAATGATGATTACGTATGCGGGTAATCGCGAGTGTGCTCTTGGTGACCCATCATTCAACGTAAAGAGGACCTTTACTACTCACAAAATGTGATAATGACTTCTCAATCGAGTCACAACCTCCCTACTGTTCAGTACAGCAATTATCATCTCACTCCACTTAGCCGTATGCCTCCGCGGGTGCAAATAACGTTGATGTGTGATCACCCTGGGATGATGATACGCCGAAAGGATCGATCCATCTGACATCGCTTGCGTATCGACCACTGAATTCGAGAAACACGTCGGATGAATAGTCTTTGTCTATCACCGCCTCTCTTCGTCTTAATATGACTGGTTGCTAAGCATCTCTATTTGACCTCTCAGACGTTGGTAATGATGGTGGCGCAGGCAGCCGCCGCGAGGCGCGACACCATGTGATGGATGCGTTGTCCATCATCTGTCACCTTTTTCCGGTTATTGCAAAAGCCAACGACTTCACCACGCAGAAATCCTGATCCAAACCTGTTCCCTCCAACAGCTACGCGCTAATACTGCAGCTTTGTATGTGTTGATCAACAGAGGTGGCGACTTTGGGAGTGAGGGGCCAAATCCCATTCGCTTGGCCTGAGAGCTCCCTCTTACTCTGGATGTGCATTAAATGACAACCTCGATTACATGACAATGACCTTTGTGCAGGTGACTGCCATGGAGCTGCATCGGGCATCAAAGTCGCTTGCGTTCGAAGACTATCCTCCTCCTGATCGACACATTTTCACACAACTGGGGACTTGGAACTGGCACAAGGCTGCCATCCAACAGTTACGCCAACCAACACATACGTAGTAGGTTGCTAACGTTTATCCAACTGTTGGTTCTCCCTGATTTCCTGTGGAGTCATCATTGCCAGAATCCTTCGCGGATCGGACCTTTTTGTCGGTTCGGAAGTCCCTTGTGACCCGTTCGGCCCTTGCGGAGAAATCACTTTCTATAATCCGGCTTAAATAGAACTGGTTGTTTACTACGTATTCGACTCCCAAACATGATGGCGGCTCGCAGGAGTTCACGAATCGTGTAGTAATAGTGATTCTGCTTCAGTTACACAGTCATGCTCGTCCTCTTCTCTAGACATTCCTTGGGTTATGCGTACCGCAGTCCTTCTAACATACCTTGATACTGCATTGCAAAGTGGTTAAACAATTACCAACCTCGATTAGCTAGATCTCTTGCGAGTTCCCTCTACACACATTATGTTAGAAGATAGTGCCAGGGTACAGGGGCCGATACCGACTTCTGAAAGTGATTGATAACACTTTCCCAAACCGACAAACATATCCACTCCATGACCAACAACAAGGTTTGTGAAATCAGGCCTACCTCCGGGGAAAGTTGTAAGGCGGTTGTCACACCACAACGCTGGGGACGGTGGAAATTTTGCATGCTACATGACCATAGCCACACCGCTGCTCCGCGGGGAACATCCTGCCGCCGGGAGCGCTAGATTCTGGCTAACTGCAGCAAATGTCTCCTCCGCTAGTTAGGCCAACGCCGTAGTGTCTCCAGGATCTCTGCTATCGCTGGAATCGCCCTTGGAGCGCCTTTGACTTCCCCCCCGGGGTCCCCCCGTCCGCAATATTGCGACTAACATACTAGCCAGATCTGATGGCAGACTTGCAAGCAGAGCAAGATCAAGACAGACTTGGCTTGGTTAGTACCAACTGCCAAACCCCACCTTCATTCCGTTTGCGGCCAGACGCAATCCCGGACCCGGGGACAGCGATGATCCCGGCACGCTTCGAGAAGAGACCACGTTGGTTCCCAGTTCTATTTGACTCGCCATCACCTACCAGAATCGTGAACGCTAAGCCGAATTCACGATTCAGACGAATTGGGAGGGCCCTTGATTTAGTTTGCTACTGTAAGTGTGTATCGGATGGTTCATCGTCTCGCCTCGGCTGTCCTCCAACACTAACTTGGCCAATTTAGGACTGGAATTACTGTTCTTCCAATGCTCCAAAATTATCGATAGCGCATCGTCTCCGGCTCCTAACTCCGGAGGGAATCCCCCCCGTGGCTTGCGACCGAATTATTCCGATAGTGATATGTGATTAATTGTGATGATCACGCTTCTGTATCGGACCAGTTTTGAATATTTCAAATGTCATCCTCTCCGGTTTCACAGGCTTGATCTACTCGAATACCAAAACACTGATTACGTTCTATTTAAGGTCGAAGAGGAGTTGTGTTTCACCATAATAACAACCTGCAATATTGACAGGCTGGCGGCCACACGTGCTCGACCAAGCATTTTGACGTTGGACTGTTCGGCTACACTGTATTCGGAAAGTAGTACGTATGCCTGCGCGAACTGGTTCACTACTGGTTCACTACTGGTTCACTACTGGTTCACTACTGGTTCACTACGGGTTCACTACGTACTACCTTATCTAACTTTCGTGCCTGCATCCGCGACTCTTCCAGTGCTGCATGTACGTAGTATGGGATCTCAAGTATCGCCCAACCGGAAGGCTATCGTTATCCAGAATAAGATATGTAAGCATGCTGCAGCGCAGGGGTTGCTGCTGTGTGATGATTAATTCACATGGGTCCAAGACCTCTAGATAGGTCGGTACCACCATCAAGAACAATCCCCTTGACTCGGCGTCAGCATTGTGCGAGGTGAGATTCTCCGCAATCTGAGCAGCTCGCATTCCGGTACATGAGCATCCCTGCTCACCTGCTGCTCGTTATCTCTGCTTTTGCAGGAAAGTAGCAAGCTGCTTGGGGTTTGGTGAATAATGCAAGCGAGAGGGACTGCGCTCGTTTGGTTACATTGGAAATGTTCACCAATGCAAGAAGTCGAGTTGTTTCATCAGTAGAGAGTGGGTTATCACATTGACGTCCGTGATCCAGACCTCCTTGTCACTTATCAACTGACCCGTACTCGCTTACTACTGGCTCAAGATATGGTTCCTGGAATGTGCTTGATAATGTCCCTCTACCGTACCTTTGCGCTTCTTTGGATTCTATACTCACCCCAACAGAAGCAGAAGAGGGCCTGACCGCCGCCCATGGATATATTTTCTATCAAAAGCAGTTGATTCTCGACATAAAATCAACATGCTGCAGAACTAAACAAAGAGCGACGTAACCGGCGAGCCCTGCACTCTTTACTTATGGCTCTGTTCTCCCGTCCGTCCAGCATCCGGCTTGAAAGTCGATCTCAAGAAGTCCACCCCGCCGAATACCATCTTATGTATTCTTACTACTCGCTGGTCAACGTCCCAGACTCCTCTCTCTCCCCCCCTCGCTCTTCCCCCACCTATCCCTCCTAAAAGCAAATTATATTTAAACAACATGCCTTCCTAGACCACTGAGCTGAGGCGCGCTGCATCAGCCATTTACCATTCATCCCAGATCCAGAACCTCCAATACGCCTCCACCTCCTCGTGACCCAACCCTCCACGCAAGGACCGCTCTTCATCCCTCCAGACAACCGAAGTCCATGACCACCATCAACTAACTCTCAGCACCTTTCCCGACCCTTCTACAAAATCCAAACTCCCACAGTAAACCAGCCAAGCAGTTCCGCCCCATCTCTTCATGTTCGCGCCAACAAACTCTATTCCCCGTCACCGGGGTTCATTATGATTTTAGCAACGATCCTTCAAGTGAAAAGACGAGCAGCAGCGGGAGAACAGAGTGGGAAGGGAGAGGGTGGGGGCGCCAGAATTTTTCCAATATCCCCCACTCTCCCATTCATTCGTCCATGCCATCAAAGCAGGCAGGCAAGCAAGCAAGCAATGCAATCGGTACGCTGTCTGCTCCGCAGCTGCACCGTCATCGTTGCAGCCCTTTTTTCATCCCATCTCGAACCAAGTAGATTTTAATAGCCACCCCAAATCCGCTTCGGACCAGCCAAGGGGGGCACTGAAGAAGCAAAAGAAAGAGAGAAAAAACAAGAAGCATTTTGTTTCTGTCCTAAAAAAAATCTGTAGAGTGGTAGACGAGCACCCGAAGTCTAGTTAGTTGCGAGGAAGTAAATCGTTCAGCACCTACTTTTTTTCGTCCATCCATCTTGCACTGACTCTTACAGCGCCCCCCCTTTCAGATCATCTTACTCGTGACTACCCCGAAACCTCTGCATCCTCAGACCAACCGCAGTCCCCTACAATTTCCCATCCGTCCATCCATTTATCGCTTTTCTCACTCATCCCTCCCCTGCAGAACATTCCCACTTCCCCTATTCCCCTCCCGATTTCCTCGCCCTCCATTCCCATTCCCATTCCCCCAGACCTCACAAGCCCTCCCCCACTGCCTGACCGCCTCCACCCGATGCGCGATCGTGATCACGGTAGATGCCTCCATCTCCTCGGCCAGGACCTGTTGGATCCTGAGTGCGGTTGGTAGATCGATCGACGCCGTTGCCTGTTTCGCCACCACCGCCACCAGCAACAAGTCAGCCAAATTTGGAAAATATCTGGGGTAGGCAAGGGGCGAGAGGAAACCACCCCCCCAAAAAACAAAAGCCCAGTAAGAAGTTCAGGCAGAGAAGGGGGGTAGAACTGCCTAGCGAGCGAGCCAGCTATCCGAGCTCTAGCCGGGCGACCAGAAAGAGAATCAAGAGATTCTCAATTTCATACTCCGTACCGTAAGGTAGAATGACTTGGAGAGGCTGACGAAGTGTAGGTAAAGAAAGGGTGGTGTAGGGCCGGCTACGCTTACCTCATCCAGGATGATGACGGGGCTTTTTCGAAGGACGGCTCTCGCAAGGCCGATGAGCTGGCGTTGGCCTTGGCTGAGGTTGCGGCCGGCTGTGTCGATTTGGGTGGAGAGACTCCACCGTCTGTCGCCGTGGCTGGTGTCGATGTTGTGGCTACGGCTTTGGTCCAGGATCTTGGATAGGACGGCTTCGCATTCGGGGTCGCTGTGTTGGTTCAGCGGGTCGAGGTTTTGACGTAGCGTGCCGGGGAAGAGGAGGGGTTCTTGGGCTAGGAAGGTCTGTGTTTGGGTTGAGAGAAGTGAGTATGAGGCTGGTTGGGGGGGGTGGAAGGATGGGGATATGGGGAAGGATGGCTTACCACGCGCGAGCGGAGGGCTTGGGTGTCAACGGTCGAGATGTCTATGCCGTCAATGAAGATACGGCCGGATTCGGGGAGGACTGGTTCGATGTTGTCAGCGGAAAGTAAGACCGGACTGTAAGGTCTCATATGCATGATTTACTTGTTGCGAGCAGTGCCAGTGCCAACGTGCTTTTGCCAGAGCCTGCCGAGATTAGCAATGCTGCGCCAACAACCAAGGTATATGACATGTACCAGTCCTTCCGATGATAGCGGTTTTGGATCCGGCTTTGATTCTGAACGAAACCGAGGACAATGCCGGATCAAGATGAGGAGCGTATCGGATCGTAACATTCTCGAAAACGACGTCGCCATTAAACGAAGGCCACCAAGCTGGAGGACTGACGGTCCCTGGCGGCTCTTGATCTACGTGTAGCAGCTCGACCACCCGTTCCACCGAGACAAAGTCCATTTGGAGTTGGCCGTATTGCCTGCATAATGAATGTGTGGAGGTGACAACTATACATTCTAGTCAGGTTCGAGGTATGATGAAAGGTCATTGAACCTTGACCTACACCTTGAAGCCGCCACCAGGACGAAGGCTGTGAGACCAGGTGACACGCCCGTATACAGTGCGAGTAAGGTCAGAAGAAAGGTAGAGGAGGCCGATAGTATATCAAATCGGTACATTAGCCAGGCCTGCAGGCTCCAGTAGAAATGGTCCATCTTCTGGAATGCGTCTGTTACGGTGATGACTCGGTTTTGGAAGCGATGTTGTGCACAGAATGCTAAAGTTGGTCAGCTATTTGCGAGTAAATAGTGTTTAATGCAATATACCTCTGACGGTTGCCAGCCCGTCAGACAATGCACCAAAGTTAGACATTAGCGGGCTTAGGGAGACCGTCTGAAGTGGAATTGGTCAGTGGATTTGCAAATATTATAGACAGGCCAACCGGTACGTACCTCAAGTCTTCGCAGGCTTTGTGAAGTTGGAAGGAACCGCAGGAAGATGAGGACGAACCCGAGAGTAAGCAGAAACGAGAAGACAAGAAATCCTGGTGTGACAGATGCGATGACAACGATCGAAGACACCCATTCGATTAACAGCCAGGCAACATTTTGGAATTGCTGACTGATGTTTCCATCAATGGTGCCAATATCCGATGTAAGACGATTCATCAAGCGGCCAACCGGGGTAACATCGTAGAACCGAAAAGTAGCATAAGACACGCTTTTCATGATATCTTTGAACATTTGACGACCGGCGATATAGATGATGATCAACATCAAGCATCTAGAAACGAGAAATATGACCGCCTGGATGACAGCGATCAGGAAAAAGACAATCAGCCACGGTCGGATGTTGGCTTCTGGGGATGGAAATCTTTTGAATGGATCAGAAATAGTCAACGCTTCCGGCTGGTTGTATGCTTCACCCCACTGTTTGAGAAACCACGCCTTGCCCACGGTGATCAAGCGAAATAGAGTAAGGACGCACACCAATACGAGCCACCAACGCAGTTTTCCAGCTCTGATGTAGGCCCAATACACTCGCGCTCTGACTCCCCCAGTCGCTCTGTACTCGTCTTCAATGAATTTCTCAGGCACGGCTGCCAGTTCACGCTCTGCGTCTTTCGCATGGTCTGCGTTGGTCATCGTATTTGATGACTGCATCGAGCTCAGACTACTTGAAAAAGAGGTACCTGGCCCCAGAAGTCGAGCTCTGCCTTCGGAAATCTCGACCACCTGCTTTGCCAGACTACAGCAGAGATCCGTACGGTGAGTGACAAGCACGGTTGTTCTGTCGGCCAAGAAAGAAGCCTCAAAGCACCTTTGAACCACAGTCTCCGCTGTCCGCTGATCCAAGGCCGAGATTGGATCATCCAGAAGGAGAATATTGGCTTGGCTGTAAAGCGCGCGTGCCAGTGCCACACGTGCTTTCTGCCCGCCAGACAGACCTACACCGTTCTCTCCAATGTTCGACAGATCACCATGCTCCAAGGCAGCCAGATCTTCAGTCAAGGCGCATGCTGCAATAACGTGCTTATAGCGAGAGTCGTTGTAAGGAGCGGAGAAAAGTATGTTCTCCCGTATGCTCATACTTTGCAGCCAAGGCGTTTGAGCGCAATACCCGAACATCTCCGTTGGTCGAACAAGCTCGCCACCTCGCATATCTAGCTCTCCAAGTAATGCTTGCAATAGAGCGGTCTTCCCTGCGGCAACTTTACCGCAGACAACGGTCAAGCCTGAAGGGAAAGCGACACTCACATCATCTAGCACCAATCGGCGTGCACCTGGCCAAGAAAAGGATGCATGCTTCAGCTGCAGCTGTGCGCCTGCGACTGGCATTATCTCTGACTCTGGCTTGTTTGGCTCACGCATGAAAGCTTCAAGACGGCCAACCGCAACATAGGCATTCAGCAAAGCGGTGATAAGACCAGGAATATCGCGAAGATTACTCCCCAACATGCCGAACAGCTGCAGAGCAGGAAAGATGATGTCTATTCGCAGCGGTTGTCCTGCAAGATATGTATAGGCGTAGAACGCAGCAACGGGGAACATGCCATTGGCAAAGGTATTAGTAAAGCCGATCAAGGTACTCCACATGCTAGTCACAACACGAAGGTTTAGTTCGTGTTGCCTTGCTTCCATAATTCTGCGTAGCCACGTGTCCTGCCAACCATACCAGCGTAGATGGCGGATTGCTTCCACGAATTGGGTAATGAGCTGAAGCTTGATGTCCGTTGCTCCTCTGCGGCGTCTCTCCCACATTAATAGGCCTCGGGCAATCAGCGCGTTTAGCGCTTGAGCAACGAATACTGTAAGGACGCCGAGGAAACAAGGCCAACCGATTAGCCGCCAGATAAATATGGCCGAGAAGATAAGGCCAAGAGGTTTCGTAGTTAGTGATGAGCACTCCCAAAACCTGATCAGGCAGATGTCAGCACAGGGGCGAAGAGGCTATTGAAGCAATCTCTACCTTTGTGCCACTTCATAGACATCGCCACTGTAAAGGAGTCAGTGATGTGACCCTCAGATAAATTATCCTCAGCTTACCGCATGAGATTTAATACCTTGCCCATCGACGCTGACTGCTTCGGTTGCCCGCGTTTTTCGTTTGTCCCACCTGGGTGTTCAGGAGGCCTTCCTATGGCCAGTTCAGAATCTGTCTCGGGTCGATCTTCCTCAAGACCAACTACTTTCCTCATTAACATCTTCTCGTAAAGCATCATTATCATTTCTCCACGTGACCTCTCGAAGCAACGCCTGCTATACCAGAGACTAAAGACCGCGGTCTGACCTGCAATGAGTCGAGCAACCAGCGACAGAACAGCATAAACGACCGCAGCACGTCTAGGTGCATGAACATCTTCCATAGATCGGAGAAGTTGCTGTAGCAATACAGGAGTCGAATAATCTGTGATGCAGCTCAGTTACCGCTTCTTTCCGACTTTGCGGGTCAAGAGAATCATACCTGCGAGTAACTCCACGAGACCAAGGAACGACACGAGAACCAGATCAATCTTGTTTGCGTCAAGGACACGGCTCAGCACCGTGCCTCCCAGCTCACGAAACTTGTCGTGCAGTCTCTTGTGCTGAAATTCATAGCCCAGTTGCCAGACATCTTGATCGTTCAATTGCCGTTTCGCCCCCAAGGAAATGAGAGGCTCCATCCACGAGATAGTCATAAATTGCCACAGAGTCAGATTATCCTCAGGGCTGCGAAGTCGCGGATCAGGCGCTTCGAAGACCTGGCTGATCTGGTCGTCTGGGAGATCAGAGTCTCGCATTGGCATATGCAGAATGATTGCAATGGCAAGTAGAGCCGCCAACGCTCCCAAAATGGTGGCAATGCTATCATGGCGCCGCGCTGGGTGATTTTCAATGAAGATGATGGAGTGTGACACGAGAAGACTGCTGTAAAGCGCGAGTAGTGAGAACGGGGTAGTCTTTGGACGATTGATGACCACCAGAGCGCTAGCAACAACCTTGTGTAGAACAGTAAGGACACATTCTTTACTTGGAAACGAAGCTTACCCAAGATGTGCTGGTCAAGACAATAATGATTCGGGACGAGGTATAGAACATCGCAATACATTGCGCGAGGAGTCCTAGAATAGAAATGACCAGAAGGGCAATTGTTGAGCTGTGCCAATGCTTTTTCACACATGTGAGGAGTTCTTGTGGACGATCCATCAACTCCTCTACAAACGGCTTAGTCCATGCTGGTTGATACTTGAATAAAGGGGCAATTGCAGTACTAAGAAGGATGCAGACTGCAACACCTGCTGGGATGGTGGGAATGATAGGAAGAAAGCATTGCTCAAAGCGAGCTTCCACGGGGTCCTATCCTCACCATTATCAGCACTCCATTGATGGGGCTGGTCAAGCAGCCGTAGAGCACTGTACCCAGATTCGATGACATGGTGTTGGCCAATGTCCCAGACCGAGGCGGACTGCTTTCTCGTCTGTCATCATCTGCTGACGGCCAGTCTGCTCTATGATCTATATCAAATGGCACATGGAGATGGGGTGAGTGGCAACGAAAGTCCCGAGATTTAACAAGTGCCATCCTCTGGTCAAAAGACTGTTTGCATGAAGAGTTCTGTTGTGCGATCAAACACCCTTTCTCAGCCCTCTGCTTACCACGACTTGTACCCCGTGCGACTGACTACAGATGATATCCACAAAGCTATCTGTGGCCGCCTAGTAGGATAGTATCCAAGTGATCGTTATAGATTGAATGATTGGTCGGCAGGGCAGATCATTACAGCGTTGATGATACTACGTAGTATAAATCAACTAGTTAGTGCCGCATACGGAGTATAACAATCACCAATACCCGGGGGACAAATTTCAAGCCTTACGGATCATTACTGATGGCTGCTATAGAATTTTTACGCAGCATGGCCGTCATGCGAAACGCCGAGTCTGGTCAACAAGGAGGCTTAATACAAGTGAATTAAGATTTGGTCGTGGGGAAAGCGTGCCCGTTAGGGTAGGGAGTGCTAAGCCCGAGTGAAGAGAAATGCCCTTACTAGTGCACGCTGAATTGTAGCAGAGGTAATATGACAGGACGCAGTCACGGAGGATGCTCTACTGAGCCATTCAATGCCGACCGTGTCCATCTCCACAAATCCTACAAGTTCCTCGTTCATTGCTTCTTGTCCGCCTCGCCAGCATGAACATTGAGCCCTAGTCCACGGCTGTCCAGGTAGAGCTTGTTCTTTCCACCCGCCTCCTGCAGTATGGTGGCGATCTGTCTTGCATTCTCGATCTGTCTTAAATCCACGTAACTTCTGCTCTTCTGGATTGCATCACCAATGAGTTGTGCCGACTGTGCCTCACCCTGTGCCCGTACGATGGTGGCCTGTTTTTCCTGGCGGGCTTTGTCGACAACGAAAGCCGCACGTTGTGCTTCTTGCTGGGCGACTTGCTTGGCTTCGACGGCGGCGGTAAACTCGGGTGAGAAGGCGAGGTGAGTAAGAGAAACATCGTCAAGGAGAATATTGAATCGCGCCGCGCGACGTTCGAGGTTGTCTCGGACAAGGCGGGCCACGTTCTCTCGCTGAGTAATGAGTTGCGAGGCATTGAACTGCGCGACAACCGACTTTAAGACTTCATTGACGATCGATGGCAATACTCGCTCATCGTAATCAGTTCCTAGCGTGCGGTAGATTTGAGGTAGATGCTGAACATGTGGTCGGGAGAGGACTCTGCAGGTGATGTTGACCATTTGAAGATCTTTGGTCCCGGTCAAGGAGGCGACGTTCCGAGGGCGAGCGCGGACATCATAGTCGATGGGAGTCTCGAACCACGGAATTCGAAGATGAGTACCTAGATCCTGTGAGCACATGCGGGGAGGAGGAGATAGCTGAGGGTATATCCACACCTTCATTGTAGATTTCTTTCTTGACTCCACCGATTCTGGTGTATTTAATAGCTCGGTGTCCACCGTCGACTGTCCATGTCTGCTTAGCTATCAATCCTTCCTACGGCAGGCTGAGCCAGTGAGCATACCGTTGAAGAGTGCGTTGGATACGACAAGACCTCCCAACCCAAGGAGGATCAGACCAGCAAGTGGTCTGACAGAAGCACCACCTGGAACGCCGCCGCCCCTGCCGCCGAATCCACCACGAGTTCGCTGTTGTAGGGTCTGCTGAAGCCTTCGAAAGGCCTCTCGGGGATCTTGTGCCATCTTGACAGGTATTACTGGTTGATCCAAGTCTCCTGGTGATGGTCCCAAGCTGCTGAACGTGTAGACTGCGGAGTAAAGTTTTGATGCTTGATGCTGGGTGCTTGATGACTAGCGCATTTTGCGGAGAGGGATAAGAGGAATCTCAGATAAATACAATCTTCCAACAACCATTGAGCATAACTAGCAATACATGACAGTTTCTTCGCTTACAGAGACCGTCGTCGACGCAGTTACCTCTCTGGAAGTGTTCAATAGCTAGACCAACATCGTCTCTCCAGCTCTTTCAGCCATGGCGCCAGACAAGGGCAAGAGCATCTTCATTGGGAATATCCCTTTCAGTAAGTCGATGTCTACTCGCTGTCCAATCACCTGTTGCTGACTTCTCTCCTAGACATGAGTGAAGAGGAGATCGTACACATGCTCAGTTCAGCCGGCACAGTCACCAAATTTCGACTCATGACCAATCCAGACACAGGCAAACCGAAAGGCTTCGGTTTCGCAGATTTCTCAGACGCAGACTCAGCCGCCTCGGCAGTACGAAACCTCAATGATCATGAGATCCAGGGCCGAAAGATCAGGGTAGACTGGCCTCATAACAACGAAAAGGACTCGGTACCCCAAGACTACAGTCAAGTCAACACCAGCAACGACATGGCAGCCGGTCCGCCTGGAGGCCCTCCTGCCCTGCCACCCCTGCCTCTGGGAGTCGACCTACCACCGAACCTGAAATGCGCCGACGCTATCTCAAACACCTTGAAAACCCTCCCACCACCTCAACTCCTTGATATCCTCTCCCAGATGAAAACCCTCACCATGAGCGACCCAGAAACGGCGAAACGCCTGATGAAAGAAGCCCCTCAACTCGCCTACGCGGTCTTCCAAGCCCTAGTCCTTATGAACCTGGTCGATCCAAACGTCCTCGCCACAGTCGTGGAGCAAAACGTACAAGCCAGTAACGCTCAAATCCCACTTCAGCAGCAGCCGCAACAACAGCAGCCTCCAACAATCCCGCAGCAGCAGCCTCCACCACCACAGTACGGCTACCCTCCACCTGCGCAGATGCAGAATAGGACCATTCCGACGCCGCAACAGTATGCTGCTCCGCCACCTCCTCCAGCCCAGATACCACAACCGCAGGCTACACCACCCGGGATGTCGCCTGAGCAAAGACAGATGTTGGAGCAGGTCATGCAGTTGGATCAGAGGACCATTGATTCGTTGCCGCCGAATGAGCGCATGCAGATCATGCAATTGCGGCAGCAATATCAGCAGATGGGTGTAAGATGAGCATAGAATGGCAATGCGGCATAAGAATTATTTTACAAGTCAGGATGAGACAACGATTGCTCTCCTCCTAGGTGGGCAGATATCAAGGATATCTAGGAAGCAAAAGAACTGGCATCCGTGGAAAAATTCTGTGGCGGATTTGATATGGAATGGTAGTTTTAGGGCCCTCCAAGAAAGCCACGAGAGGGTGTGCATGAACAGTTGACTGAAGGACGTCGGTTCCCGCACCTGGCATCGTCCGAAAGACGCCGTGAAGACACGAAAGCTCAGTGTGCGGGCCTGTTCTTGCAGGATTTCTATCAACTGAGCACCGGAGCTGGGGTGTCATTTCACATCCTGGCTGAGAAGACACAAACATAGTTGTGAGCTTGGAAGCTGCTACCTGTGGTATCCAAGAGAATACACTCAGCTGACTGCTGATGATCGGCTTCTCCTATTTAATGTATCTGAGCTTTCTCGTCGTAGCACACCCGTAATCCCATCATCCTCTGGTACATCCCCAGTCTATGTAAAGGGTCACATCCCATATCATTCCCGTTCGAGCTCCGTGCGTACCCAATCCATCACGAGCCAGGCGATCATCCACTATGTTCTTGACCTCCCAACCCCGTTTGATAGTGAACTAACTTGTCTAGTTGGTGGCGTCTCTCCTGAAAGGCGATCGGGGTTCGTTCAAAACAAGTGCCAAAGTGACGTAGATTATATCATGAGTAGATTCTATCATGATCGCCAGGGATGTGTTCTTGGGTGTGAAGGGGAAATGAAAAATCAGTTTAAGCATGCATGTGTCAGACTTTGTATTTAACGTCGATTTCTTTGTTCGATGAGGTTGGGAACGAGATGGTAATTAGATGATGAAATAGTAAGACCTCATGGTGTAGGATGGAGGCTAGGGATGGAATGTTGCAATTTAATGTGCTGGCGTTGACGGGACGGACTATGAAAGCGTGTGATATGCAGAGGATGGGGAGTACAGAGCAAGAGACAGGTAATTGAATACATCGGAATTGAGAGAGGAGGGATTGCTAGCTAGCGGAGTTAAAAATCCACTTCGAGAAGTTAAAAAGCTGGAGCTGAATTGAGTACCTGCAAGCAGCGAAGAGCAAGTGGACAGAAAAGGATAGGAGATGAGTGAGCATCAAGCCCTGTGAAAGGGAAAGGTACCCGAATCATTCAGCATAACTCCCAACCTTAGTCCGCTTCCTGCCGCTCCTCCTGACTTGCCCTTGTGGCTGGTCACGTCGCTTCTCACCACCTTCATCATCACCACGGTCCTCCGCCTTCCTCTTATTCTTCTTCGCACTACCGCCGTCACCACTCCACGCTGACGCCTTCATCCCAATCTTGTCCATAACCGGCCTCCATGACCTCCTAGCACGCCTCTGTGCATAGAAGAAACTCTGTGGCAGATGACCACGGCCAGATTGCTGGTCTGATCCTTGACTGTCACCGCCTCCTTGCCCCGCTCCTTCACCCTGGCTTCCTTGAGATCTGGATGCAGCGCCGGCGCGGCGTTGCCCCAGACGGCCCCAATCAAATCCCCCCGCCTGGTAACTACCGGACTGGCCTGAGCTGTGGGTTCTCCAGCTCTGACCAAACGTGCGCTGGGAACGGGCCGCTGGCGAGGTAGACCCGAACGATGTCGATGCGGTGGGTAGACCTAGTCCTGGAGGAGGATTCAGATTTTCATTGGCGGTGGTCGAGCCCGGGATCGTCATTGCAGAAGGTGCACCAGTCCAAGTTGGATCTCTATGCTTATTTTCGAGCCGGGTCTTTACCTCTCCGTTTGGAGCCAAGTCGTTGAATATGATAAATAGCTCCTTAAGCCTCTCGATTGATTCGTTGTCAAGAGCCCCGAGGACTTCGACTGGGAAGTTTTTGGCTCTGGAGATAGGGAAGGTGACTCTCGCAGCGGTGTTCGCAGCTAAAGCATGAGCTTCGGGCGTCATATAAAGAGTTCGTAGAGGTTTCCATTGCGACTGCTGAATTGTCCGTGGTGTATGTAGTCGGCAATCTTCGACAGAAACATGCTCTTCCTCGTCTCGCCTGCTGTTGGCACCATCTTTCTGGTAGGTAAAAAGAGGGATGCATATATACTGATATGTGTGCACGAAAAGGACGATGAACTTGCGATCTTTGATGACGATTGGGCGGTGAGACGCACAGGTGGTGATGCCATCTGCCGTCACACCATCCTCTCTAATGAGTCCGAAATTTGAATCACTACCAGCCCCTTCGTAGTGCTCCGCGATGAATATCGTGCCAGGGTCCAGTCTCCGATGTTCAAATCTGTTCGACTTGTCTATCTCAGCAGCCCTTCCTTTTGCTTTGGGTGCCTCCATTCTCTTCTGTTCAGGTTTTGACGGGGTCTTGAGGATCGTAGATTTGTCAGGTGTGTCCTTGACAACCTCTGCCGGTGTTTTGAGCACTGTAGAATAGGAGGAGCCTTTCAATGGAAATTGATCCGACATGTGGCATGCGATCTTAGCGATGTTGCGGTCTAACCAGTCCGTTAAAGTCCCTTACTCTTCGATTGCTTGCTTGATATACACACAGAGTTAATGAGCTTTATGAAGGGCGGATGATGCTCCTCTCTAACCGTATCCCCCGATCCAGAGAAAAAAATCGACAGAAAATCTCGGTGGGTTCATTGTTGACCACCATCGTCAAACAACGAGCTCATTATGAGACGATATCCTTGTGCCGGATGCGGCACAGTCGAGGAGGCAACACAACAACCGCACACAGAAAGGCGAGGACAAGTACTTCCAAATTCGGAATTGCAAACAGCATCAACAAAGTACTAGCACAAAACACGAAAGGTTCTAATGTTGATGACTAATAGTTGACATACATAGACTCCAAATCTCAAAGCCGCATTCCTCACCTATTCGAGCCATTCCCCTTCCAGCAAGATATAAGATAGGAATGAGTACTCACCTTGTTCGTAGTGACCACATTCAATGTTTATAATCTCGCGCGTGGCTAGCTGCGATCCAGAGCTCCGAACGGCTTTGAAGCCACCTCCTCTACCACTTGGTCAGTTAAGGCTGAACAAAACAGAGAGATGGCAACAAGGTTGTATGGGGCTCAGTTGAACTTAGCTGGAAGTTGAAACCCTTATAGGACAGCTACGGTATCCTTGTGTACCGCAGTATCCTTGTCTGTTACAGTGACCTTCTTTGCCAGAGTATCATTGTTGATGCTCACGGTCCAATCAGGCCCAGACATGATTGCTTTTGCAATCTGGTCAAAGACTGCAAGTATCTGCTGGCGATCCGTCTGTGAAATGATTCCTTTCGCTCCTAACTCTCTTTCCGTCAGACAAGTGACTTTGCTCCATGACATATTGCGGAAGAGATGGGTAAATTCTTCGAAGCGTAGATTCGTAAGGGCTCTGGACACGCTCACGCCAGCGTTAATCAAGACACCAGTGCCAGATGCGGGAGACCTTTCGCTGACCTCAACTGGCATGTACCTCCTGAAAAGCTGAATGCATCGGTTTGTGGACGTAGCGGTAAGTCGGCCAATCACCTCAACTGGGAGTTCATAACTCCGAGAAGTGGGATACGCTAAATGAACGACAGAGGACGCTTTAAGCTCCATTCCTGACATTTCTAGCGTCATCAACGGCTCGTGGCCAGACTGCGGTTGTACTTCGATAGTTGCACGATGATCTCGAATAGACACGAATTCTTCCGGCCTGGGCTTATTTCTTGTTCCATTTCCATTGTGAGTGAAGATTGGTAGGCATACATAACTCATTGCATGTCCTGCCAGAACAATGAAGAATCTTGCCTTCTTGCATATTGGGTTGTGGCCAGGGACATGAATCATGCTTTTATCCATCAAAGTGGTGCCATTTTTATATGCTTCTTCCACATGGTCACCACGTATGATTGTGCCTGTCTTAAACAACTCTTGTTTTTGAATAGATGGTGTATTGCGCACGATCCGGTTCTGCTGTCCATAGGTTCGGCTGGGATAACGGGAATTATACGTGCAGCGAGAGGCCTTTGAGGTTGTAGAGTTGCCGTCGTCTCTTAAGCGTCGTTTATCACCCGTACTTTCACCTGGTCGATAGAAGTCACCACGACTAGCGACAGAATATAGTCTGCTTGGAGTATACGCCTTTAGGACCGACGGGGACCTTGCTATGAAGCTCTGTGTTGGAGCATGCTGGTTGCTATGAAGAGCCGCCATAATCCACCTGCGTAGAAAATATAGATTCAAAGAGTGGTAGAGATATATTTGGAGTTTCCAGTGACGTACTTGACGTCAACCGTTGTTGGGATTGAGATACTGATAGTAGAAGCCGCAGTATGGTTGATGGATATATTCGTGGATAGTGAGGTTCGAGGTTGTGGAAGAAATTGGGTATAGCAATAGGCGACGAGCATATCGCGGGAGTATCGTGATATAAAGACAAGATTGATCTTCAAGAGATGACGATGAAAACAAAGCGAAAGAAAGGGCCTTTATCACCGAGGCATCAGTCCGTATGCATAACAAAGACGGAGTGTCTACATACTCACATAATTAGAACAATGGGAGAGTCATCCAGTCAATGAAGCGATAGATCAGCGAAAATAGACAGCTCCAGCTACATTCCGACAAAGAATGAAGGCGTAACAAAGACTCTTTAATGGACCGTCAGCTTTGAAATTGCGAGATCCCGCTCAGCTTCTGCTGTTGCAATTCGGTCTTAGTCCCGCAAAAAAACTGCAAACCAGCAATACGCAATCAGGAAGTCGACGTGAAGACTGTCCAGTTCGGGTATTGTCCTGTATTAACAATTACAGAACCAAATAAGCTCGCAAGAAATTAAACAACGACTGCAAGATACCTTGACAAGTCTGCCGCACACGCCATTTAGCAATCGACGTTATGGGAGGAAGAATACGTGTAACGGACAGAACGGTGGATTTCATGCGACAGATCCGGAGCAACGCGAGACATATTTCCCAGAAACAGCAAAAGTTGAACGAGATTAATGACGAGATTACAAGCGACGAAGACAGAATAGAGAGGCTGCTACAGGAGTATGACGAAGTGCAGGAAGAAACTGGGGGCAAGGATCAGCTAGACGCGATCAAGCAAATCGGATCAGATCTTAAGAAGCTCGACAGTCTGAAGGTGAGCCTTGCCGAAGAACTCAGCAACCATAAGTCAAGTCGTTTGTTTTTCCGGGAACTCTTGGAGGACGAAATCTGGCTGGCATTGATACAGAGCGGGCAGGTAAGACCTGATGATGACATCTCAGATTCAGGATTGAGCCCGCATGGGCAAAGCATGGAAGACAGTTGCCATCCAATAAACAGCCATCATGACGTCGTACTTAGGCAAAACGATCCAGATGCTGGGCAGGACTGCGCAATGAACGACGACCCTGACACCACCAGAGAACAGATGCGAAAAGCAATGTCTTTACTGGAAGCCACAAGGAACAACGTTCAAGATGTCGGCATGAGGTTTCGTCAGCTCGACAGACTCTGCGAGGAACAACGGCGAGACTTTGAAGATGGCATAGTCCCGGAGTGGCAGGACATGACGAGGACAGAGTTTGACCTTGAGCAACTAGCTCTGAGGATGGACCTTACCAGGGAGCTTGTGGAAGCTGAAAAAGCTTACAGTGATGCAGGCCGCTTTGCGGTTGAAGTGGGCTACAGCCCTGACGACTCGAATCAATCATGCCACTTCGTGGATGATCCAGAGGACGGTCTCTGTTCTGGTGACAGATATGCGACATTCGTGGAAGAGAAGGGCATGGATTTCATCGAAGCATGGCGAGAAGGAATTGCAGCAAACATTTCGACTTCACCAGTGAGTGCGCAAGGCGACGACTGGGATGTCGACTCGGTAAACTTTGGAGAAGGTTGTAGCACGCATGCTGATGAATGGTACAAACCCAAGATCGGGCGCTGGGAGGATGCACGAGAGCTTGAGAGGATGAAATGGCATAGAGCCGGAATTGTGGCTCGCCCAGACACAATGGTTTGTGACCATACGTCTGTGCTCGATCATCAAGACCTATCAGAGGCGGTGCCTCTCTCAGTCAGCCAATATACGGAGACGGATTCATCAAGAGCCGGACTCTGGAAGCCTTCGCTTGCTCGTGTGAAAGAGCTGGTGGTGACTGGACATGCTGCCGTAGCAAGATTTTCGGCGACTTGGTCGACCCGCTGAGGATCTGATGACTCAACTCATCCTTGATAGTCGAGATATTTGCTAATGCCGCGGCAATCTGTGGCGAGGAAGGTAGTGTAGTCGGTTCGAAAATGCTATTCCATGTTTTCTCTGCAAATGTCCCCCCGCGGGGAGCCCTCCATGGTCGAACAGAGTTGTTGAATCGATCATTTAGCATTCTCGAGCTTCTGCCCCCTGATCTTACAGTATTAGTTCTCCATACCAAGCTCTTTCACGTATCTTTTTAAATATTCAACATCATTTTAGATCAACCCCAGTTTGAAATCCAAGACACACAATCGTTTCAGCTGTACGGAGTAAAGAGACCGAAATCACGGCAAAATGAAATCTCAAATGACAGTTCACTTGAGTTGACAGATCAAAAAAAGCCCTTTCGTGATGCATATTTCTCCTCTGTAAAAGAACTAAGAGCCGTGTAAAGACCAAAGAAAGCCATATTTAGTTCCTCCAGGACTACACCCGCCTTTCAACGTGGCAGTGATCGATTTCTCGGACCATGTATGGATGTGGCACTAAAGCGTAGACGGACACATAAAGGATTACCATGACACATCCCATTCGTGGTGAAGTACGCCTATTAGATCTGCAGAGTTATTTCAGTAAGAAATCTCAGATGGCTGTGAAACAAAAAGGGTCACATGATTTTGGGTACGGCGGACCATTGAGGCTGAACGGCTGAATTCAATTTTCAACTCGCTTTCGCTCAAGGGCTATCATTATCTCCACAAGATAAGACAATCCTGCAATTGTTATTTTGTGATCTTTGGATTAGTGGCTAGGGTTTTTAATAATAATTTGAGGTTTCTATGCATCAACGCACCAATACCACCCAGATCACCTCGGCTATTGCTGGCTTTTGCTACTCACCGCCAAGCTCAGGCTTAGCTGTTCATGCGCGTACTAAGTGCAGAAAGAGAAACACCCACAGACCTGCAGAGCTCAAGATGTTGCTGCCATAAGTCCATCTGCTTGTATGACAAGAAGCATTACTCGCCATGTCTTCGTCAAGCAAAGTACAGCACTCTAAGGAATGGAATCAGGTTAGGCAGATCGCCTGACATTCCTTGAATAAGACATCAGACTGCTCAGACGTACCCCCCATTCTGGCGTAAATTTTGACATTGTCTGATTAGTTGAGAGAGAGGGAATTTAAGTCAAGAGAGAAAATTCTAGAAACCCTTATCAGCATTAGACTAAGAGGCGAGACGGCCAAAGAACTTAGGATGGAAAAGCATATTCGTACCAGACTATTGCGACTTCTAAGAACTGATAGGGAAAAGGCCATATCGCAACGTTGCGGCTCACCTCTAACTTCACCTCGATTGCATTCTTGCTCCCTGCTGCAACGGGGTAGCGAGTAACCACAATCGGTATTCTAGTACCATCCTCAATATTACCTCCGTCAACGGGTGGTTTCAGTCCTCGACCTTTACTATCTTACATGCGATACCGATGCTAGATACTTTCGATATCACTCTGCCCGTTTCACAGAGGTAGCAAAGATGGAAGGCTCCGAGAGTGGGCTGTTTCCAGGTCACTAGCACTCTATCCCAAGGCTTTGTCAGTGAAGATATCGTATTTGTCGCTGGATAAACATCATGGCAAGCCATGAACTGCGGACTCCGGTAAGGTACGATCAGGCCTAAAGTCTGTGGAAGCAACATTTACTATGTGGCCTGGGATCAATACCTACCATCGAGTATGAGCTGGACAGAATGGGGAACGTATCCAGCATCGACAGGGCGCAAGAAGCGAGACGGATCAAATCATACAGCGTTGAGAAAAGCAGCTACCTTATATGGATTTGACCTCGATCTGAGGCCAATTCGGATCTAGCTGGCCGCTCGATCAGACTGAAGCAGTTCAGCAAATAAGAACACACGAAGATATGTAGGTACACAATAGGAAGTCAAGGAGAGCGATGCAAGCAAGAAATTTTTAGGATATAAAAGATACGCAGTGCTAGGAATCTTGGACAGGTGTTTATGTGTTGTGAATATCCGAGAGCTTTGAAATGAAAATGGGTTTAGTCCTAATCGTCGGCTTTTTAGTCGATTCGTTTTACTCCTCTTTTCTGTTCCCAAGATAGTTGTTCCCAAGATGCGGTGCCCCTCACAACATGCCATGGCATGATTTGAACGCAGCCGAGGGACGAAGTTGAGCCCGCGCCGCAAACCTCAGACAAGCTTCCAGTACGGAGTACACTCTCCGCAACAATGGAGATGGAAGCGCCCAAACCCTCTTCCCTGGCGGCATAACAACTGTAACTGGGTACGCTGGAGGACCTCCGTAAGACGTATCGACGGTTTCATGGGATTAATTATATGGCGAATCGAACAGCTATTTAACGGGTTCCAGCCGCGGAATGTATGGATTGACATCCAGGGAACTTGTGTTGACATGACTGATGCTTGACCTACGAGTGGAGGAGCTATTGCCCGGCGTCTGGCAGCCGAGAAGTACACGGTTTGGGTCAACGATTTTCAGGCTAAAAAGTCTGCTACTGACAACCTTGTCGCTGGGCTCAACCAAAAACATGGCGAAGGGACAGCAGTTCGCATCGTCGCTGATGTGACCAAATCCTCAGAAGCCCAGTCCATGATGCAAGCAACAGTCAAGGCTCTAGGCCCGCTGACTGTAATGTCGCCAATGCTGGTATTGCTCAAGTCGCACCTGTGCTTGACATCTCGGAAGATGACGTGAGAAGAATGTTCGATGTTGCATTGTTGGAACGGCGACGTGGGATCTGGTCGACGAGAGGCTGGGGGAGGTAGAAGGTCGAGCGAAAGGCGAGTCGCTACAAAAGTACAGCAAAAAAACAGCTCTAGGCAGAGTCAGCGTTCCAGAAGATGTCTCGAATGTCGTGAGCGGATTCCTCTGCTCCAGCGACAGCCCTTTTTGTGACAACTCAGACTCTGTTAATTGAGGGTGGCATTGTCTTCACGTAGAGCTAGTCGCCTCTATCATTACCTCAGGTATCACCAGGGGTGCACTGTGAGATTTATCTTGCAAGTTGAGAAGATTTGTCGACCTGCTACCGCGCCAGTGTTTGTGATGTGTATTGCCGGCTTCTTGGTGAATCATCCCATGTAGCTGCACACGGGCAATCGATACTTTTCGATGTTCCAGTACCTCCTATTGACACCTTCCCATTCATCGGTAAGCTTGGGAACCTCCAGCTCCTGCCAATCAACATCGAAGCCCGCCTCAAACAAGTCCATCTCTAGGACCTTCTGATACACATCGTAGCTTATCTGCCTATCTGCACCCAGTCCATTGAAGAAGGAGAATTTTCCCGTAGGGTCCAGGAGGCCGATCACTTGCTCGGAGAAGAAATCTCGGAAATCCGAGTAAGATTCGGCGTAGGTGTCAAAATAAATCGCATCGAAAGTCTGGCCTTCAGAGACAAGCTTTGGTAGGATGTCTTGCCATCGCCCATCGTGAACCAGGACGCCTGTTTTCTCATGCCAGCCTTTAGCCTTCATGTCCGCTAGCACAGTAGGATGTGCTTCAACAATATGATGACTTGAAGGTCTGTTGTGGTGGAGTTGAAACTGGTCATCGATTATGCCCATGCCAAACCCTATATTCATGACTTTCATATTTGGGGCCACCAACAACGCATTCGCTGATTGTGACATTATCTCTGATTCCCAAGACATCATGACACCATTCGAGTCCTCGTCGAGAATCCTCTCGGCGCTGATAGAGAGAGCAGAAGACAGATAATGAGCAATATTGCTTTCAGTCTCTAGGGGCACGACTATGTTTGATTGCGGAGGCTCATCACAAGATTGGCTTGTTTCATTTGTCCGGTCGTCTGCAGGCCCGGTTACTTCATCTTCTTCCGAGTCATCCAGCTTTTCATATCCTTCAAGACGATTCAAGAGTAGTTCCGCGCGTACCCCAGCGTCTACCATGAGCTCATACAGTTGCTGAAAGCCCAGTCTATTCGCAATGCACCCTGGCGTCTCATCGTTCTTGTCGAGCTGGTTCCAGATGGCACCATTTTGAAGCAAACATCGCACAGTCTCTTGTGCGCGTAGCATAAGCTCTTTCTCCTGGCTCGATCTGCCTGAGGTTGCTGGGGCGCCGTTGGTCACCTGCTCGAGGGAAGATCCATTGCGCGGAGTTGCGGAGGTGGCCGGCTCTATGTCTTCCTCAGCTTCGCACGCAGCTATGGCCGCATGTAGTGGTGTGTAGCCTGTTTCTGGATCTTGTACATCGACAGATTTGCAGTTAGAGAAAGTATATGATCGCAGGAGATGTCGCAATGTGGTCAGATCATGCTGAGAAGCCGCGAGCAAAATCTCCTGTAAGTGCAGTTCAACATTCTCTGCTTCGTTGTTGCTGTTCATGGCAACTGTCGTCTTGTATAGCGATTTCAAGCCACAGAGTTTGGAGTTGTTGGACTGGGAGATCGCATGGAAAATAATTTTGGTCAAGTGTGGGGAGGTGAAGCTACAACCCAATAGCTGATGCTGCAGCTGACGGATTGCTTCTACCTCATCTCCTAGGTCAGTTAGGAGTACTTCTCCTCGTATTCTGGGAAGACCTACTGCTTTGCGGACTACTTGACATGGTCAAGGTCGAGGTAGACTTTAAAGCTGCACCAGAGTGTAGACTTGAGGAGATGATCAAAAGATCACCTTCAATCAACTCCTCACCCATGCATTTTAGCTGGCACCATCTCAGCCCAAGGCTGGTGCTGACCAGCAGCTCTCCAGACTTTGATCCAACTAGTATCTCACACTGGAAAGAGGAGGGTTTTGCCGTCGTGTACCTCCCATATGATAGTGATGCAAAGGCCTACAGAAACAGCCTACAACACCTGGCCGATCCTCTTGAACTTGGTGACAAGTACGCCATCGTGGGTACTGTTCCCTCTGTGCAGTGCATACAAGAGACCAAGCTGATTAGATTTCTTTTGTATAGCTTATGGAGAAGCCGCGTCACTTTGTCTTGAAGCTTGTATGAAGCCAATGCCTAAGCTATGTGCCATAGTCGCCTATTATCCCACACGGCTTCCAACAACGAGCACCGCTTTTCCACCTTCCCTCCTTGTGCAGGTTCATATTGCTTCCTCGCAGAACTTTGGTAGTCGTTACCCATCGTACACGTACCCAGATACAGCTCCAGGCTTTGCAGAGCATGATGCTGATCAATATGACAAAATTGGTTCGCGGCTGGCTTGGTCTAGAAGTCTTGGCTTGATGCGAAGAGGATTTGATATTAATGTAGACCTCGAAGCAATATGGGAGAACCATACGGCTCTTGAGTTTGCCGCCAAGGACGCTGAAGCAACGATGCAGACAATGGTAGCTGAGCCCTACGTCAACCACGTTCCGACCATGACAGGGGGTATTGGTTATAATGATTTGAAGAAGTTCTATGCCGAGTTCTTCATTCCAGGGAATCCGCCGGACACGAAAATGAAGCTCCTCAGCAGAACCGTTGGAACTGACAGAGTGGTAGACGAGCTACTCGCCTCGTTCACTCACACGAAAGAAATACCTTGGATGTTGCCCGGCGTACCAGCTACTGGTAAGAGAGTCGACATCATAATCGTTGCCGTTGTTTGCATACGTGGTCAGAAGTTGTATCACGAACATATTCACTGGGATCAAGCCAGCGTACTGGTACAAGTTGGACTTCTTGATCCTCTATTGGTGCCAGCGACCTTCAAGACGACGAAAGAGGGCGCGGAGAAAGAAGTTGACAAGCTACCTGTAGTTGGACCGGAGGGTGCTCTGAAAGTTGTGGATGAAGAAAACGGAGAGAGCAATCTTTTGATTCCTGATTGGTAGATTTGGTAGGTGAGAAGGCACATTGCATTTTCCTATGCCTTCTCTATATCCGGACTTGGGATGCTGTCCGAGAAGCTACATATAGCAGCCAAAAGGCACCTCTCGATGGGCAACCGTACCCACTCCTTAATTTCTCCGTAAGGGCACCAGACTAAGTTGGGAGACCCCGTTGAATTGACTATTGCAACTCGCGTTTGAACTTCCAACATGAATCTATCGATGTGAGTGGAGCTCCAAACAGGCTCATAGGCGGTGACATTCGGCAGGACAGATGGTCAGCAACAACATGACTTCCGGTATGTACTCTCAGACATACTCATAAAGACCCCAATTGCCAAACAAGTTTCAGACTACACGGTATTGAAGCAAATGCTGCGAACGCCATCTCTGTGCGGACAATTCGCAAAAAGCTCAACCAAAAAAGGATGGGTCAACTTGTGGCTCGATCGCTGGCCATTGCCATGACTGTGTCCAAAAACGAAAGTGAATCTCACTGGTGCTGCTCTTCCGTTTATGGCGCTATAGGAATTGAAATGCCAGAAATTATACCCCTTTCCTACTGGAGGCCCCCAGGGCCTTATATGAGGGGTTGGATATAGGAAAACCAGACGAACTGAAAGTTTTTCTTTCAGGTGGCAAACAAAAACAATATGCAGGTATGGAAACCTGTATCACGAGCTATGCTCTTTTGAGCCTCAAAGCGCTTACGAACTGAAGTCTTTAGTACACATTTACCTTGCACGGAAAATATTATGTAAAGATATTGGAATACGCACCTGGGGCGCACGTTCTATCAATTATTTCATCAAGAAGAGACTATCTTTGTGGGGTTTTCTTGTATTCGCTTTCGGAGCTTTGGTGATATACCATCGTAGGCTTAATCTTCATTGGAAAAAGTCTGCTACATGACTTGCCTCGGGCTTTAAGGACACCGTGAGCGAGCCTGAGGCTAGTACTTATGCTTGGATTCCGTAGCAGAGAATTGGCTTAGTTGTATTGAAGGTGAAGGTGAGGCTGTTAGGACGGGGGGCTGGGAGCCCAGGGGCCTAGGAGATCCTGGCATCTCTGGATACTTACGGCAATTCGACGACACCTGATAAAACCACACTGTGACACATAAATAACTATGTTGCACTGTACAAAGGCCTCTTTACGTCTCTTACGTGTCTCTGCATGTCAAGACGTGCGCAGTTTGCCGCGAACTCTTCGCAAGATACCCACGCGGACATCTTCGCAAGCATTTCTGGTCGGACCCAAGCGATAACCTATCATGCTCACCATGCTCTCAATCGAGCCTAAGAGGACTTCAGGTGCTTCAGTAGCCTCGCGATCATCATTACCAACATGATTATCATTCGATACATTAGATAGTCCCCAGCAGTATCTAAACCGTGATATCATAACTGTCAGATCTCAAACGTCAAACCTTAACCAGTCAGCCTCCTATACTGCTCGATAGCCGGACTTTCCGCCTGATCCATCATGTACCACTGCCCAATGCTCTTTGGCCTGATTCTCCTCTTTCTCTCTTTACCGCTCACTTCGGGACTCCCCAAGTCATCCTCTACGCACTTGACATAGAAGTGTGGATGTCTTCTCATCCCATGCGTTATAGACTGCGTATCGTCTGGATTCTTCATATCTACTCTCCACTTCTTTCCCAACATTCCTCCCCTCGGTCCACCACCACACGCGCCTTGCAATATGTGGTTGGGTGGAATCAAGTTGGCAATTGCGAAAAGGTTCTCAGGCTCCGTGTAGTCGGTCACCTGCCCATCCCCGCAAACCTGTTTGATCAGATAAATCAAAGAGAAGACGTTTATTGCAAAAACCAAGAAGAGGATGACGTAGAACATATCCTGCCAATCATGGTTTGCTCCGGACGCATAGTCCTTGTATCTCAAAGAGGCATTAAAATATTGGGTTTGCGGTGATTCGAGAATGTTAATCGTATAATTATAATAAGGGACGAATGGCGCATGGGCACTGGACATGACTAACGTGCAGCCAGCAAGGACGGCTAATGCTTCGGCTATCGATGGCAAGTTTGGGTTAAGCACAGGAATTTGCTTGTCGTTGATAGGGACCATCTGAGTAACCAGTCGCGCAATCGAAGCGTTGGCGTCAGAAACGCCCTGAGTGAGCCCTGTTGACCTGATCCACTCCGAGCCAACGTCTTTCCAATCCGGCACGATGGACACAGGCGTGGCAGAAGGGTTGGATCGTATATAAGGCATTGTATTGTCTGGGCTGTCGTCACAGTGGACTGAAAGCTGGCCACCAGACTGGGCAGCGTGGTACTTGGTTGTGCAGTAGGGATACTGTGTGGCTCTCAATGAGCAGAGAACGTAAATTTCAGTCCAAAGTGAAGGTGGCGGGGTCGCGAGAAGATAGACAGCACTCGGGCCCCAGGGTTCGGATATATTATGGATTGTATTGTACTTAAACGGAATTTTGCGGAACTGAGGGGCAGGCTCCTGCGGTGATTCGTTGCCGAAACCGAACAGCTCGTCCACGACTGTTTGAGGCGAAAATGGACGAGGTCCTCCATCAGTTTCAATTAGAGGTGACAGCTCTGTGGCGTTCAAGCTAACACAGAGAACTTTAAGCGCCGGAGCAGGAGTCGACGCGCTGATTTCATACTCTCCCTGCCCTTGAAGATCTTGTGGTTGTAAAATGCGATTGGCTGGATTCATGACGGCATTGAACACGTTTGCATGCGGCATTGCCATGGTCACATCCTGCACGAGACGTCCACGCGCAGCGGAGTCTGCGGTGATGTTCTCTTTGCCCGAAGAGATCCATTGGCCGGTCACCGTAGTATTATCGTGTAGCATCGCAACAGGTTGCGGCCGTCCATCAAGGGAGGATGTACTGGTGTTGTTTCCCAGAAGCACCGTTTCGGACCAGTCTGCGAGCCATGTTTTGAAGTCGTGATATGATTGGCCGGCATACTCAACCTGTAGACAGGTCCTTCCACCCTCTTCTGGGTCCTGATCCTCTGACACCGGGGTCTTACAGTTCTTGCTTAGATATTTAGCGTTTGCAAATGATGTTGCCACTGTTCCCAAGAGGACGCGCTCTTGCTGAGGTCCAAACCTCAATTTCGGAGCCACCAGCGCTTCAGCAGCGGTGGTGTAGAACGTTGCAGCAAGAGTCGCGACAAGCGCCAATCCCCCCACAAGGGTGATGGCTGCGTATTTGACAGTTCTCCAATGTGTGATCAAGGTTCCTGGCTGCATGATCCACGATCTCATTGACATCTCGGCGATCGAGATCCCTTCACCGTGCCCCGAACCTTTGGCGAATGCCCATCGACTCAGCACCTCTTTCCAATGCGTGATCAAGGTCCCTGGTTGCGTGATCCAAAATCTAACGGACATGTTGGCATTGGAATTTCTTTCAACATGCCCCGAACCTTTTGCGAATGCCCGTCTACTGAGTAGCTGTCCGAGCAATGCAACAAAGACGGTGACAAAAGACAGCTCTATCGTTTTGGAAAATAGGGCGCTCAGCAACGTGGCAGTTGAGTAAGACATCTTGCCTTGTACACCGATTTGTTGGCCCCATCGAGGCTTCGCCAATGCTATGCCCAGGAAGATCCCAGAGAAAATCGTAGAATAGATGGATAACACCTGTATGGATATGGTCAAAGATGACCAAGGGCTCATGAGGATATCGCCTTCTGTCGGGCAGTCCACCCCAGACCTCTGATTAAGGTCAATCAGGCCACATCGAGGGCGTCACGCAAAGGAGACCGTTCTCCAGGATTGACAAAATCTCTATCAGGCGCAGTCCATTCCCCACTTGCGGTGCCAGCGTTCTTCAAGTCGCTGGGGAAATTTCTCAGGCCAAGACCATATTTTCCTTGCTCTTGGATATTTGCTGCTTGTTCCCTTCCGTCGTCATCCTTGGCGGGGATGTGCTGACACTCCATGTCAGGGGCGGAAGGGAGGACAGATACAGCGGAACAAGTGATCGTCAGCAAAAATAAGAAGCGATAGTCGGCCAATTATTATAAGGAGGTTGCGATACAGCAACAATGAGGTACAAGGCCGCGCTATAATTCAACTAACCTCTGTTTGCAGTCTCGATCTATCGCAGACGACCAAAACGGAGCGGGTTTATGTTAAGCAGAAAACAGCACCTGCGTCAAGTTAATAGCGATATTAATACTTACTTTAGGGGCGCTCATATGATCCTAGACGGCAATTCATGAAAGTCGTATTTGGAAGGCTCGTCTAGACGGGTTGTTTCAAACATCTACAGTACTAGGTCAAAAGTCTCCGTGCACACGAATTTTACCACCCCCCCTAACTGTTCTCTACTCTATACATTTTACTACTACACACTGAACTCTGATCGGAATTTTATGAAAAATAGCTCAAAATTGTTAGAGGATGTAGCAAATAGCGTACGGAGATCCAATTGAATTGATTGAGTTACTCCTATCAAGAGGAGCATTTGCTCACACTAATAGCTATGGAAGCGCATTACTGCAACAGCTCAGAAACAGCATTTGGCGTTCAATTCGTATAGCAATGCTCACTGCCATAAATAACAGGGCGTAAAAGTTACAAGAGCGTTTCGTGCGTTTCGCATGCGGGGACCCCTGTATCATCCTGCTAATACGTAACAGATACGTATCGTATGCGCAGGGATTCTGACAAAAATAACCGTTAATGTCTAGCCATTGTAATCGTACTAATTTCCTAATTAGGTCTCTTGATTTAGTATCTGGTATGCCATCCTTTTGCCCGCAGTACAGCATTCACCCGGTTATCTATTGACTTGATTAGGGAGTCGATTTTATCCTGCGGAATAGCCTCTTATGCTTCTACGATTACTTGAGCTAATTTATCGTACACTGCTTGCAAATCCCTTAGATCCTTAAGATGTGGATACTGCTGATTAATCCACTGCTTCATCTAAGCCTAGACGTGTTCAATTAGGTTCAAATCTAGGGAATAAGGTGCCTAATTAAGTACTAGTATACCTTGATCTTTAAACTATTTCGTAACTTTTTTAGCTATATAAATTAAGGTATTATCTTATATAAATGTTATATTAGATTACTAGTATCTCTTAATAATTTAGTCAAGTATATTAATATAAGAATTAGCTAAGTATTTATTATATTATATTTACTTATTATAAATTATAATAATTAAATTAGAATATCCTTTAATCTAAATAGCACTCTATATTATAATACTTATATTATAACTCTTTTTATAAGTTTATATAAATTAAGGATCTTATTTCTGTATAGCTATATACTAGGCTTATTTATATTAATCTTTTTTGCTATATTTAATACTTAATTTATTTAAGAATATTATTATAGTTTACTCTTTAATACTCTAGTCTTTATAATTTAATACCTACTAATATTAAAGATTAATTAATTTTAGTATTAATTCTAGTCTTTTTTTGTATTACTATTTATAGAGATAATAAGGAAGTAGAATTCGCTTAATAGTATTATCAGAGAGTTAAATCTGTAGATCTTGATGCATTTATGTATAAGTTGATTTAGGATAGGAACGAGCATATTATACAATAGTTCTTTTATCTCTTTCAGACGTTATAGAGGGTCTGCCTGAACTCGAGATCGATTTGTAGAGGTTGCGTTATTCAGATAGTTCGTAGGTATATTAGATGGTTAAGGGCGCGAAATTGAGTATGCGACCAATTTCAGCGAATCTCACTCCATATTTAGCTGTGCCTACTATCTCTGCGCGCTTAATAGGCGTTAACTCATAATGAAGAGGCCTATTACCACTGATTTCGCGTAGTGGCCTTCGTAGGGGCATAATTTGTTGATAGAATGGGTGGGTTGTGTTGAGCAACACAGCTTTAGCTGGTACGGGCGTATAGCTAACATCCTCCTTGCAAGGCAGCGCGAGCTGCCGCAACTGCCAAGAGGATGTGGCTGTACATGTACAGCCAAATCCCAAAGCGGCTTAGCGCTACTCTGGCGCGTCACGTGCCCTGATTTCCTGTACTTTAGCACAGAAAATCCTATTTAGATAATTACTAAAAAATCTAGATAGGAGTATACACAACACTACAGAGTGAGAACTTTAACAGGTTATAAGCCCGGCTTCGTAATCACTAAATAGATAAGCAAGGAGGCAGCTCTGACAAGCTTTACTTCTCTTAAATAAGTTAGATAGGCTTTTATCTAGCTTATTCTATTCTTTCTTTAATTAAATAAGTATGTTAGGCTACTAAACTATTATATTTTTTGTTTAATACTCTTGTTAAGGCTTAACTAGTTAAGACAAGTCTTAACTAGAAGCTAGGTCTAAAGAGTTAATTAGGTAGAATAGGAAATGTAGTAAACAATACTAAGATGTCTTTAACTTAGGTATAAGCTAATAACATGAGTTGACTACAGAGTAAGAAGAACTATCTGACTATCTGCGAAAGGAGTGCGCTTATATAGATAAGAGATTCGTATGCTTAGTCCTGCTTAGTAGTGAGCAGAGGTAAGCAACCTGTATGTGCTCAGTAGTGCTTAGTAATAAGCAGAGGTGAGCAACCTTAAGTGTGCTTAGTCTTGGCTGTTCATGAGCAATTATCCGGGTAGTCTTGCCTTAGTGTCTAAGCCTAGTGCCTAGCTCTAGGCTGTGTGGCTTAGGTAACCTTCCCTTACTAAGAGGCGTTATAATATTATTCCCTCTTTAGTTAGTCTTTGTCTTAAAGACTAAATCTAGAGTTAAAAACTTTAGTAAAAATGTTTCTTTATTATTCTTTCTTATTAGTATACGCCTAGTATAAGCACTTATTATATAACTGTTTTAAGCATTTATAGTTTTTCTTTATGCTTTAGCTAAATATAAGTATATTAATATTATTAATAAAGCTAAAAGCGGTTGCCTTAGTCCCTTAATAATTAGTAATATTTAATAGATTTATATTATAAAAGAGGTATAAAATAAATAAGACTAAAAAGCCTTAAAGGATCCTTATATAGACCTTAAATCTCTTAGACATCTTATTACTTATAGAAAGTATAGAAGCCTGGTTTGACAGGAAGCTTGCTACCTATTTAGTAATTATAAGAGAGATCTTACGCTTTCTCAGATTATGAATTAATTATTAATATAAACGCTTGATGTATTTATACTTAATAAAGAAGCTATCTTATTTCTTTCTTAGTTCTAGACTATATATATTTATTTAGTAAGGAGCTTTAGCGCTGTCTTAGTTAAGTAGTTGTCCCTTACTCTTATCTACGTCTTTAGAAGAGTATTATATTACTTAGCTAAGAAGATAATTTATTATGTTATAATAGACTCTAGCGTCTTGCCTATTATATTAAGTAAGACTATTAATCTATAGGCCTTAGGAGATAAGTAGTCTAATTTATTAGGCTTTCTTAGAGCTAGTGTATAGGCCTCTTAAAAAGTATAAGGGTAGTATCCTAATAATATGCAGGCGGAGAATAAATAAGTAAGTGTAAATGTGAGCTAGTTAATACAGGCCTAAAGAATCCTGTTAGAGATCCTATTAAGGCCTAAGGCTCTATCCGCTCTTATACGCTAAATAGCGTTCTATACCTCCTTTTTAGTAATGACTATAAGGCAGTAATATGCCTATAGATATATCACGTCTTTGATATCATTAAGAAGTGCCTCTAATAGTAACAAGAAGAAGGCGGCTTTAAGCATCTTAACCTAGTCATTAAAGATATGTGTTATAGCGCCTTAGGTTGCTAGTAATATAAACTTAAAGGAGTCACGTAAGCGATGACTATTAGCTCTTGCTTATTTAGCAAGTTTCTATAGACCTCTGAGGTTATTACTAGTATATTTGATTCCTGTTCTAAAGTTAATCCGCTTAGCTTTATTAATAGCTCGCTTTTTATAATTATTTGCTTATTAATACTATGCCTAGTCCTCTTTCTATCTTATTAATATT